TATAAAATCAATGTACTGGGGCACCTAGGTGGCTCAGTTGGTTAAGAGTGCAACTCTTGATTTAGGCTCAGGTCGTGATCTCAAGGTAGTGGAATTGAGCCCAGGGTCAGGAAATGTGCTCACTGTGGAGTCTGCTTAGGATTCTCTCTTTCTCTCTGTCTCTCTGCCCCCTCCCTGCTGGCACTCTCTAAATAAATAAATAAAATCTTTAAAAAATATATTCTCTTCCTTTCTCTCTGCCCCTCCCTCTCCCATCACACATTCTTACTCTTACTCAAAAAAATAATTGATTAAAAATAAAGGAAAAAAAGAAAATCAATGTACAGAAATCTGTTTCATTCTATACACCAATAATGAAGCAACAGAAAAAAAAGTCAAGGAATCAATCCCATTTACAATTATACCAAAAACTGTAAGATGCCTAGGAATAAACCTAACCAAACAGGTAGAAGATCTATGCTCTGGAAACTACAGAACACTTATGAAAGAAATTGAAGAGGACACAAAGAAATGGAAAAACATTCAGTGCTCATGTATTAGAAGAATAAACATTGTTAAAATGTCTATACTACCCAAAGCAATCTACACATTTAATGCAATCCCTGTCAAAATACCACCAGCATTTTTCACAGAGCTAGAACACACAATCCTAAAATTTGTCTGGAACCACAAAAGACCCCAAATGGACAAAGCAACCCTGAAAAAGAAAAGCAAAGCTGGAGGAATCATGATTCCAGACTCCAATCTATATTACAAAGCTGTAGTCATCAAAGCTATATGGTACTGGTACAAAAACAGATATCTGGATCAATGGAACAGAATAGAGAACCCAGAAAGGGACCCACAACTCTATGGTCAACAAAGCTTCAACAAAGCAAGAAAGAATATCCAATGGAAAAAAGTCTCTTCAACAAATGATGGGAAAACTGGATAGCAACATGCAGAAGAATGAAACTGGACCATTTTGTTACACCATACACAAAAATAAATTCAAAATGCATAAAAGACCTAAATGTGAGACGAGAAACCATCAAAATCCTAGTGGAGAATACAGGCAGCAACTTCTTTGACCTCAGCCGTAGCAACTTCTTACTAGACATGTCACCAGAGGAAAACAAAAGCAAAAATGAACTATTGGGACTTCATCAAGATAAAAAGCTTCTGCGCAGCAAAGGAAATAATCAACAAAACTAAAAGGTAGCCTACAGAATGGGAAAAGATGTTTGCAAATGATATATCTGATAAAGGGTTAGTATCCAAAATCTATACAGAACTTATCAAACTCAACACCCAAAAACCAAATAATCCAGTTAAGAAATGGGCAGAAGACATGAATAGACATTTCTCCAAAGAAGACATCCAGATGGCTAACAGACACATGAAAAGATGCTCAACATCACTCATCATCAGGGAAATACAAATCAAAACCATGATAAGATACCACCTCACATCTGGCAGCATGGTTAAATTCAACAACACAGGAAACAACAGATGTTGGTGAGGATGTGGAGAAAGGGGAACCCTCTTGCACTGTTGGTGGGAATGCAAACTGGTGTAGCCACTCTGGAAGACAGTATGGAGTTTCCTCAAAAAGTTAAAAATAGAACCACCCTATGATCCAGCAATTGCACTACTAGATATTTACCCAAAGGATACAAAAAAACAGATTTGAAGGGGTACATGCACCCCGATGTTTATTGCAGCATTATCAACAATAGCCAAGCTAATATGAAAGAGCCCAAATGTCTATCAACCGATGAACTGATGAATGGATGAAGAAGAGATGGTGTGTGTGTGTGCACACGTGCATGCATGTGTAATGGAATATTAGTCAGTCATCAAAAAGAATGAAATCTTGCCATTTGCAACAATGTGGGTGGAGCTAGATGTACTATGCTAAGCGAAATAAGTCAGAGAAAGACAAATACCATATGATTTCACTCATATGTGGAATTTAAGAAACAAAACAGATGAACATATGGGAAGGGGGGGAAGAGAGAGGGAAACAAACCATAAGAGACTCTTAATGATAGAGAACAAAGTGAGGGTTGATGGAGAGAGGTGGGTGGGGGAGGGGCTAGATGGGTGATGGGCATTCAGGAGGGCACCTGTTAGGCTGTATGCAAGTGATGAACCACTGAATTCCATTCCTGAAACCAATATTGAACTGTATGTTAACTACCTAAAATTTAAATAAAATTTTGAAAAAAAAATAAGAAAGAATGATGTAAAGAAGTGGCCAAGAGCAAAGAAGTGGCATGGAAGGACTGGGGGGCAATTGGTGAGCGATAAGGGGGTGCACATTAGTGGATGTGAATAAGAAACAAAGAGGGTAGAGGAGCTGCCATCTCTGGAGGAGAGGTTGGCCCTAGTGTGCTTCATCAAGTGCCATGGGTCCCACTTGGCACAATCCTGGAACTTCTCCATCACCAGAGTGAGAACAGCTCTGCATTTAACAATGACCTGGAACAGCAAAATGACATTTCTAATTTATGAACCATGTGGATAAACTAACTCTTGAAAATCTAACTGCAAATCATTTGTTTGGGGGAAATCCAGTGAAAATCGGGGCATTAAGCCTTCTACTATTTTTCTAATGTGGCAGAGAACCTAATTTTTTTTTTAAGATTATTTATTTATTTATTTGAGAGAGAGAGAGAGAGTTTGCACGAGCTCAGGGGATGTGGGGGGTGCAGAGGGAGAAGAGTGGGAGAGAAGCAGACTGTCACACAGGGCTTGATCTCATAACCCGGAGACCACGACCTGGGCTGAGAAGCCAAGAGTCGGATGCTCAACCAACTGACCACCCAGATGCCCCTGAGAACCTAATATTTTTACCACACCATTATTCATAGGTTTTCTCCACCTTTGGCCGCCAGTCATAAATGCTCAATGCTGCCACATGACAAGCTCTCCAGCTGCCATGAGCTGAGAACACAGTGATTGCAACTCTGTCCAACATCTGCACTGACCAGTCCCTAGGAGCCTTTGTCAGTGTCTTTCATTTGGAGCTTAATCCAGTTCTTTCTCATTTATCTTGGTCTCCCTGAGTCTAACTTGAATAGGGGAAAAAACTGCTGATTCCTACCAGTAACCACATCTCCATCCTAGATAGTAGGACAAACACTGGACCATTGCTACACGCTCTGGGCTTGGGCGTTGAAGACCAGAACTAGGGAACTTGGTGAGCAATGTCACAATCTATAACAAGTTAAGAGGAAGAATTAGCCACGATGGGCAATGGGCAGCTTGACTGAGGACCTCTAGAACCACGACATGAATTCAGACTAAACTCAAAGCCATGACATGCTTACTCCTAAAGCTCTCCTAACTCAAAATAACACAAGAATCCAGACTTACCCCCAGACTTCTATTTGCTGCAATCCAATTAAAGGAAGGAACAGACCTTCCCAGATTCTGGGAAGTTCCTATACTTCCCAGGGCACCCTGCCCCAGGGGGCAGGTCTGTGATAAGCTTCCCTAAGTCAATTCCCAGGCACTGGTGCTGGATGGAACCCCAAATGTACCTATCAGTTTGTGTGCTGCCTCATTATTCCTGAGAAGAATCCATCATGATTCTACTAAACCTTGTTGTTCTAATGACTTTTTAATTATCTTCCTCTTTCCCTCCTCCTTAGTTGCTAACTTGTCAATTTAAAGAATTTCTTGTTTAAAAGGGTGCTACTTTTGATGATGACAACCATCCAGTTAAAATTCCATTAAGTACTTCACTCAGGAGGCTTATTTTTAAATTATCTGAGCTAGGGAATATATAGAAGTTTCAAGCAGGTAGAGAAGCAAGGGTCTATGCTTCCATCTGGGTGATCCTTCTTGAAATTTGGGACACTTTGATTAAATACCCAATTTTTTTTTATGTCATCAGTAAATCAGTTATCATACAAAAAAAAAAGCTATTTGCTAATTTGGCTATGAAACCTTTTTTATTTTCACCACAGAAAACACTAAAGCAACAAAAGTCACCTCCTCTAACCCCTACATTGTACTGAACTGCAAAAGGTAAGGTGACAGAACACAGGATCCTTGGTTAGTTAACTGAATGTTTTGCTTGACTCATTCATTTAACAAAAATTAACTACCTGCCAGGCACTGGCCAAGGCACTGAGAGTACACAGATGAACAAGATAGACAATGTTGCTGATCTTATGGAACTTACATGTCTAGCCAGGAGGAAGAACAAGTGCAAATGCCCTGAGGCAGAAATGGTTGAGCTGTTTCTGAGACACAAAAAGGAAATCCCTGTGGATGAGGGAGCCTGATGGGAACAGGGGTTGGAGAGAGAGACAAGATCCAAGTCTCATAGTATCTGAAGGCCTTGTGAGGGAAAACAGATTTTAATCTAAGTGCCACAGAAAGTCATTAGAGAATTTAATCAGGAAAACATATCTAATTCACCTTTTAAAAAAAAAAAACCATTTTGGCTGTCATGGACAATGAACACTGTCTCGAATTTTATTTTTCTCACTCTATCTCTGTTGTAGTATGAAGCACTGCCTTGGTAACTAAACTTAAGAAGCCATCTTAATGCTTCCGGGCTGGGTCATCCTCAGCAGAGGAGACTGGAAGCAGTACTGGTGTTCAAGGCAGACACCGAAGGAGAAGGCTCTGAGGCCCAAGTTCCCAGAAAAGGGTGCCCACCTCCTACCTCTACACAAAGTATCATGTTAGGCTCATTACCAACCAGCCTTAACCAAATTCCATGAAGAACCTTCCAGTAGTACCATTCAGATAACGCTGTCTTTCCATACACAGCTGACTACAATCAGCCTTTTACTGTAGAAGACCCCAGGACAGCTAACTTTGCCCTCCTTCCCACACAGGCTAGAGTGACCTACAGACATTGCCTCTTCTAACTAGCCATTGTATTCATTCTACTTTCTACACAGGAGTAGGAAAGCTATAAAGAAAGGGATCTAGGGCTCCAGAAGGAATGGTGGGGAAGCAGGTGGCCAACAAACACGGGCTGTGGAGCTGGATAATACCTCTTTGAATACTTCGTTTTAGCTTGTTACACAGATCCACGCGGGGGTTATCTACAGGCTCCTCTATAGATCCCGGGCTTTGTTCTGGAGAAGGAAGGCCTCTGCTAAGATCCAACGGTATTTTGCCAGGGTGCGGTGGTGGGGATGCAGCAGGGCTGTGGGTGGTAGTAGGACTGCTGGATGCTGAGCAGGTAGTCAGGTCCAACGCTCCTATCCTTGAGTTCAACGGAGAAGTCAAGGACAGCTTTCTGGCCCTCACTGGGGAGGACGTCCTGGACACAGCCAGCGGTGGTGGGGAAGAGAATTTGCGACACAAGCGTGGGGATTTGCCATCCACCAAATGTTCACCTCTATTGTTCTGGCTGGTGGCAAAAAACAACTCTAATGACCTAAAAATAAGAACAGAAGCCATTGACAGAAGATAGTTAAGTAAAGAGGATTCCCTTGATATCATTCAGAACAATTTAAATTATCTGAGCTAGGGAACATGCTCCCTACATTAAAAGGCCACAATATCATCACACTTCTGTTGCTGGATTTCCTTCATTTAAATGTTACCTATATACCACATACTTACTGAAGGAACACAGGCACATTTTAGGCCTTGTCTAATCCCTTGCTTACTCAACTGTGGCCCGAAGACCAGCAGCACTGGTATCTCCAGGGAGCTTGTCAGAAATGCAGAACTCAGGCTCCACTCCAGACATGCTAAATCACAGTCTGCAATTTAACAAGACCCCTGAGTGATTCTTAATGCATGTTAAAGTTTGAAAAGACCAACTGTTTAAAAAAAAAAAGGAAAGCCTAAAACAATACAGTTAGCTTCCAAATAATCATGGAGCAAGCAAAGATGACTTGGGGACTCTAGGCTTCTCAGCTTCTTCCATGGAGAACTATCTGTGACCTCTACCCACCCCCTTCTACAGGCAGGGCATGTAAGTTCCCAGGCGAGCCAGTCCTGTAGGAGCAGCGCTGCAGAGCGCATCTGCTCATCTGCATGGAGACCCAGGGACTGGGGGAGCCAACTTCCACGACAGACAAGTCCAGAGCCTACCTGACAGGGATGGAGGTAAAAGGCCTCTTGTATATGTCGGAAAGTTTGGCCAGCACCACGGCTGCCGTAGTGAAAATACGATAGGTGTGCAGAAAGGTGTTGAGGAAATCGATACTGAGAAACCGCAAGTCTGTCAGCCGCTCCAGGAGGCGCTCCACGCTGGCGTAGCGGATCTGGGGCACTTTGCAGGAGTTCAGTGTTTTACTGAAGCAAATGTCGGTGTCATCTTTATGAAGACGGGCATCAGACCTACCCACAAAGCAGGAACATAAGAACAAAACCGGGACATGGCTTCCTCTCAGCCACTGAGTATTTCAGTATTCCAAAACACAAACTTGTATGTGGGCTTCCCATTGTATTTGATAAAAGATGTTGATATGCTTATTACATGCAAGAAGGCAGGGCTATAAAAACATCAACTATGTCCTTATAATTTAGGAAGATCAGAATTAATTGCAGAGAAGGTAAGAATAATTCATTTCGTTCTGTGGATTCCTTCTGTAGGGGAAGAAAAATAATTTTCTACCTTTCTGAGCTCTTGGCTGAGACTCTTGTAATAAAAGACAGATTAGCAAGAGAAAAACAAACAGAAGTTTATTAACATGCATACCTCATGTACACATGGGAGATACCCAGGGAAAAATAAGCAACTCCCAGAGGTGGCTTAGAATTCAGGCTTAAATACCACCTTAATAAGGAAAAGGGGGGGAGCAGGAGGGGTAGGCCTCTTAGGGGAGAGTAAATGATTTGAGGAAAGATGAATGGGCCCCCAGGAGACTAGATGGGATATAGGATAGTTTAGGACAGTTCGTCTAGGTGTGGGGCTGACTTCTAGTATCCTCTCTTATAATAAAAGTTGGTTGATGAAATTCTCAGGGCGGGGATTTATGACAACTGAGTGCCTTTTGGAGGATCTGTCTTCAGGCAAATAAGAGGAATTCAGAGCAAGTTTCTCTCTGCATTTGCTGTTTTTCAAGTGCCTACAGCTCAATCAATATGCCCAAGTGGCATGTTTTGGGGTGGCACATTCTGCTATCCTTCACTTCTCTCTCTAGTTCAATCATGTTTTATTAGGGAAATGAAACCAAATGCCCTATTTAGGAGGGGCATTGCTTATGTCTTTAAATCAGCATATCAGAAGTGTGCTTAATAACTAATGGGTAGTGGGGGAGAGGGAGACACAGATATCACTGCTGTATGTATGGTAATTTTTTCCAAACTTCTAATTTTGTGCATTTGTGTTCCCCCCCCTTTTTTTTCTTAACTAAACTGACCAACAGGCTATGTTATTAGGTATTTTTCCCTTTAGAACTGGCTCTTTGATCAATTCTACTGTTTTTCTATATTTTAATGTATTCATGTCTGTTCTTATCTTACTTTCTTCCCACACTTTCTTACAGTTTGTCATTCTTTTTCTAACTTCTTGAACTGAATGCTTAATTCACTCCATTCTTCCTGGCTCATTAGTGCATTTAAGTCTATCCATTTTATGAGTAGTACAGTTTAATCCATAAATTGTGTGCAATGTTATGTCTTCATTATTTTGCAATATTTTGTAATGTTAAAAATATCTTCATTTTAAAAAAAAGTAATGGATGAGATTCTCCATGAACAGTATCCACCATTGCCCCCTGCAGTGTTCTGTTTTTTCTCATTCTGTAAAACCTCCCATGTAGCTGCTCCTTTACCCTACTGGATTCCCTGGGCACCTGAGCAGCCTGTCCAGGTGGATGAGCACGCTAGCAGGAAGGTTCACACAGCAGCCCTTACAATCTGTGGCTGTGCTTAGAGCCCTCAGCCAGTGGTGCACATTTGTTCGAAAGGGCAAAAGAGGTCAGCAGAGAGGCAAAGCTTGTAAGAGGGGATGCCTGGAAGCAGGGGCTGAATCCAAGTGGGGCTCAAAGAAATGCACACCTTTGTTAGGACTGCCCAGAGCTTTCGCACTGCCTTCTGAGACCCCTTATTCCCCTCCACTGCAATATCTCAGAACAAGCCATCAGTGAAGTCCTGGATTTCACCAGGACTTGATGAATGGACATGCTGCAGGGCCCGGAACGTTCAGTAAGGCAATTGCTTGCTTAGAATCAGCTCACTTGTTGTGAGTGCCCTAAATTAGCCCCTTCAGCACTTCAAGGGATTTTCAATTGTATATTTATTTTCCTTCAAATAAAAAGGAATCAATAACTTTCTTAGCTTGCTCTTGGAAACTTCCCACCCCAACATATGCTTGGTGAGGCAAGAGTACTTCATTTACAGGCTCAAAGGAGCATTTTAAATGAGCAGCTTACCCCTCCTCAGAAACTAAGGGTGGCCCGTTTGTTTTAGCCACTTCATTGATCTCGAAAATACACAAGCACATCTTTTGAGATTCTTGAAAATGGCTTGGGGCTCTTTTTTCCACTCACTATGTGACCCTTAATCAACTTTACTCTTATGGTTCTTAATTTTCTCATTAGGAGAAAGACCTTAGAACTTTCATGAATCAGTAAGTCTGTCCAGAAGATGGCTGATAGAGGTAATCACTTTCTCCCCCACCATTTTCCCATTAAAAATCTCTATTTTCCAAGAAAGGTGAGGTCAACTATTATTAAAAGGAAGCAAGCCTTACCCTACCCTACCCTAAAATGGAAGCATCACTTAAAGAGGTATTTTCACCTAATAAGTATCATAATTTTGCATTCTAATAATAGTTCTGAGCTTTGCAGCTTTTCATTTTAATTACTTTACTCCAAACACTAGAAGAAATGGGGTACCTGGCTGGCTCAGTTGGTAGAGCATGCAACTCAACAGGGTTGTGAATTCTAGCCCCACACTGGGCATAGAGCTTACTTAAAAAACAACGACAACACTGGAAGAAAAAATATGTTGTGGCAACATTAAATTAAAATAAAACCGACTAATTATACCACTGTCCTTCAAAATTATATTTTCCTTTTAAGAAAAGAAAATAAATTAAATATGATAAAATTATTTAATTTTCTTTTATTACACTGAACGCAGTGTTTATTTCCTAAGGGGCTCTCAAGTGAGATATAATGCATTACTTAAACCTCCTGTGACAATAACAACTCCTTTTTGGTGAACTTAAAAAAGCAATCTTGAGACATGAAACCCAAATCACCTATTATAATTAAGTTTTAAAGGGAAGTGAGTACCTGCAAAGTGATGCCATGTCAGTAACAAGACACAATTAGGATAATTTTTCTTTTAACTATCAAAAAAATGTTGTCTTTTTTTATTTCATGGTGTGTGACCAAGGAGAGGCACAGGGAGGCACTAATACAGAATTTAGGGTAGAACAGGGCCACAGGGGGAACTATCAGAAGGAAAAGAGACTGCAAAATTATCCTCTTTCCTCTGACTGAGGAAAACCAGGCTCAGTAAATCTGGGAAAAGTGGAATGAAGAAATATATGAGACTTTACTCTGCCTTGGGATTATGTCTAGAATAGGATAGATGGGCATCAAAACATGTGTGACTCTAACAGAAAATCTTTACAGGTTTCTGTCCTAGCAGGAGAGCAGTTCCTACTCATTCAAGCATCACTCTGTATACCCATAAGAGGAAGTCCTGGTCTGTGTGTGAGGGAGTTACACTACGAGGTTGGATATGGACACTTGTCAAACGGACATTATAGGAGACAGAAGATGCCTTTGGGCACCAGCCATAACCAGTCAGACACAAAACTAAAATTTGTGTCTGTATTCATTTTTAAAGTCAACAAAATATATGTATAGCATATGTAAAGTAGCTCTAGGGTTTAGGAGCTTATAACTTGGCTGCAATGTCCAATTTACATATTCTCATTCTAAAGCAGTTGGGACTTTCATGGCTGTCTAGCCTTCAAGAAACTACTTTTAAAAATGAAAAAAAGTTACATATGCTATTTTGTGAAATATTAAAATAAGAATCCTATGGTAGAAAATTAAAATAACTCTAACCAAATGATGTGAATTTAAAAATTAAGTCACAATTTGGACCTTTTGATTGAATACTGCATACCTGGTCTTAATCTTAGCATCATACATTTTTAACTAATGTGGTTCAAAAAAACTATACTAAATCAAAAACCAAAAAACTGAATGTTAAAGGAATTTTCACACTAGAGCCTTAAAATGATTCTACCTAAAATGTTTTTAAATTTGACCAGTAATTTAAAATACTATCATTCTTTCACAGTTTATATTTTTCTGTAGTAATTATGGCGGAGTATAACATACTCTGTCTTCATCTGATACAATAATAAGTTCTAAAAGTTGTACTGTTGGGATGGTGCTAAGTACACTAATTTCCTATCAGAAGAGGAAAATTAATGTCATTTATTGTCTTAGCACAAACAGCTTAGATCTAAAAACAATCCACATTAAAAATGCATAGAAGATAAATATTTTCTTGGTTTCATGTAACTTTTTTTAAAGATATAACAGGACTGCTCTCAAAAACACATTTTATTCTTAGAATTTGAACTGCAAATAACCAAAAAAAAAAAAAAGAGAGAGAGAACAGGGAACAATTTGGTCAGCTTCAAAATACTCCTGAAACAATTTCAGAATTTATAATCAAAAAAGTATGTAGAGACAAAAGCATTAAGACAGAGAGCAATGGCACACAGTTAATGATATAACTTCTCATTTTAAACTACCATTTCCCTATTGGCCACCTTAAATTATAGGATATGTTTTGTTAACAAAACAGAGAGACAGCATGATAACAGACTTGAGCAAATCCACATATGGGCAGTAGTAGACAGTACCCTGGGAAGGCCAATTGATTCATGTCAAGTGTCTTCACAATCTAAATATATCTCTACAACCAAATCTGAGTAATACGATTCAGACCCACTGGGAAGATGCCAAAAGAATGTGCCATACTTTGACCCAGCCTCTGACCTTGGATACATCTGGCTGTCACAACTTTTCATATTGAACTTGAAAAATCTCAATAGGCTTTTGTCCTGAATAAAAGCATATGTAACAGTATGAAAAACATTTTTTTATGCTATGAATCAATAAACATGAATCTGAAAAGCCATTTTGATAGTCTTATTATTTATAATAGCATACCATGAATTATTGCATTACTGTCAAGAAACATATTCACAAAAATGAAGCAGAATCCTACTGAAGCAATATTTCATGCAGGGCTTTATGTTCTCTACCAATTCGACTTGATTAAAATGTAAGGGAAAGGATTATTACACTTACTTAATCATATGTGGCACAGTAACCTTGGAATTCTCTTCAAATACTATAGTCATTAAACCATTACACCGTATATTGTCCACACACTGCGAAATTAAAAAACAAACAATTTCAACCCACATGAAAACCTAGGCAGATCATATAGTCTCAGAATCGTTTATAGCCACAAAAACAAGTTGAGTTTCTCATTTTGTCTCTGGGCACACACACACAGCAGCACATAAACATTATACATTGAAGAACAGATTCAATACCCAGATACCCAAACTGTGCACCTGGCAAACACCTGAGGATAGATATAAGAGCTGTATTCTCCTAGAACGTACTGCCTAAGGACTCTGGCCCCAATGTCACATCATCACAATTCTCTGCCAGGAGCTGCACCAGGTGAGAGGTTTATATCTTCTGACAGTAACTGCCTCTGCTATATTCATTCTCTGCCTGAGGGTGGTCTGGGGCAGGCTGAGTAGAAATGATGGCTTTCGCGGATGGAATTCATCTTCTGTCTCACTAGTAAGCTCTATGCCTGCTTCTAAGGTGGTTTTTTTTCCCCACACTTTACTAGCTTCTCTAGCAGTTTCTATTGGCACCATGTTGATTTGATGAGGATGCACTGTGTAATTTCTCCTGTTTCTGGAATGCATGAAGCCCTGTTCATCTTTTTCTCTTTTCTTTTTAGGAGAAAAATTCAAGAACTTCTGCCAATTTCCACTGTCTTATTTACTTATGCCTTATCAATTTAAAAATTCCCTTTGCAATTAGAGAAAAGTTAGAGAAGGATTTATTTTGAATTACACATCTTCTTTTTGAACAAAACAGAAAATGAAAAAAGATTTAAGCAATTTTTAAAATCAGAACTTATTTCTAGTTACTAGGATACCATGTAGTGATTTATAACTGTAATTAAATGGTATGAAGAGGTTGATTGGTGGAGGGTGAGGGGCACGGGGAAGAGTGTTGTATGGGGACAGGACTTAGACACAGACAGGGAGAGAAGAGACGGGATAAGTGATCCTTTACCCCAGTGGCCTTCTTTTCATTCTCAGTGTTTTCTAAAGCACAATGAGGATGCTGCTTGAGTTACCAATGCAGGAAGTGAGAGGACAGAGATGGTGTTTAGTGGAAAATGAACAATGTTCCTTCAGTTTCCTTTAACATTTTAAGCAAATGGCAGAGTTACAAAAACAACAGCTTTAGGATGATTTAGGATTATAGTTTCTATGTTTAGATTTTCTATTTGATTCTTTGACACATCAACCTGGTCCTTTTTACATAATAATCTTTTCTTTTTCCTTCCTTCCTTCCTTCCCTCCATCTATCTTCCTATCTGCCTTCCTTCCTTCCTCCCTCCCTCACTTCCTTCCCTTCATCTATCTTCCTTCCTTCCTTCTTTCCTCCCTCCTTCTCTTCCTTCCAGCCATCTTCTTTCCTTTCTTCCTTCCTTCCTTCCTTTCTCTTTCTGGCTTTAAAATATTTTAAACATTCTTATTTTACAGTCTTTTCCAAGCTGTCGCCCTATTATCTGAAATTCCAGCAATATTAATTCTGCTATTCACTGTGTCTTCTGACTCTCTCATGATAGATAAGTTACTTACAAGATTTGTAATTTTTTATTTTGGGCACACTGTCCTGAGGCCTGAATTTTAAAGTGTTGCTAACGGAGTGACTTTTGTGTTTGCTTCTACCAAGCAGTCTTGGGATTTCAACAGTTCCCAAAACTGCTTTTACGTTAATTCCTCAGTTTGGATTTTTCACACCATGTGAATATTATGCCTTTAAATTTCAAATCCATAGTCCAGAAACACATTCATTTCTTCCAAAGGAAATTTTTAAAAAATCAGAAACCAAGACAAAAACAAACTTCCTTATTTTTGGGGGGGGCTAATGGGAAGTTTTTTGAGTTCTTATCTCACAGAGGGGATACCCTTCCAATATCCAGGATTTAAACAGGGAGCTTAATTGGTTTAAGGGGCCCACGGCTACCTCAGTCCCTTTAGTTAAAACCCCTCAGGCTTGGGACCAATACTCAATCAAAAATCATTCCTAGGTCTCTAGGTCTTCAGCTTAGAAGCTTTCTGCTCTAACTTTAAGTTTCTTCGGTATTTCTGACAACTAGAGATTTCTGTAAAATATCACCAATCTGTAAATGTCACCAGTGTATTTAAAAAATTTTTATTATATTGATTTTATATGTTAAACATTTCTGCTTTTGTAACTAGAGGGGATCTAAATCAGCTCAGTCCTCTATACTGTCAAAATTGGAACTTGAGATAAATATTTTAGGTCCAAAAGAGATTTGTGTGACTACTTTTGACCATCTCATTATCCAATGTCATATCTCATTCATAAATCTCTCTGATTTACTGTATGAAGTATTAAAATTATTTTCAACAGAAAAAAATTTTCACTTACATTCAAGTTTCAGGAAATCAAAACATACATGCAATCTGAGCCATAGCTCAAAGGCCATGTAATAAAAATCCTCATTTCCTAGAGGCTCCACAGACAGGCTGCAGTGACAACATGGGTTTACAAACAGAACTCCTGGGGGCTCTGGGTCCACTAGCTCTACTTCAACAAGAGTATTCCGTTTTTTTCTCACTTCCATTTGGGATTTTGAATGATGCTGCCCTGGAGAAAGGGTTCTCTTCCATAAAAAAGTTAGACTACAATAGGATAATCTGTGTATGAATATATTTATATTGGAAGGCATGGTATATATTCATGCCACATAAGCCTTTTAGTTATGTTGGAGAAAAGTGACTGAGCCCTGAGAAAATGAATCCTCATTCAAGAAGAACCATGATAAGCAAAGTGTCACATATCTTTAAGCATACACCAAATTTATGTGAATTACAGTAAACCTTGAAATTAACAGAACTGAGAATAACACGCATGTTCACAATAGCCCCAGACAATTTTGAGGCAACTGGTCCTTAGAAAATTGCTGAGAATGACTTCTCAGCAAGGTCTTTTGAGGATCTTACTTAAGGCAATACCTGTTCAAAGGTCACTGTCTACTGTGACCTACCACCACCCTTTTTACCTTCTAACACTTCTAAGTAGTGGGAAGAAAGGTTAGATTAAATTTTTCTCTTTTAACTCACCTTTTTATGTTAAAGTAAAAAATTCCCTATTGATTCCAAAGAAGCTATTTTAAGGGATAAAGCATGTGAGAGCGTTATAGATTTGTCTACACAAGGTGTACATTTTCACACATCTGCCCAAACCAAGCTCAGAGGTGAATTTTAATTCTGCATTTTAGTTAATACCCATAATTACAGAAAAATCTGTTTAATATACCATTATGTATGACAAGAAGACAAGCATAAATGAATGCACTATATTGAAATGAATGGTCAAATCCTCAGCCTCAAATTTTTCCCTATAAATAGATGAAAAGGGAAGAATTATTGGTCAAGACCATTAGCTATTTGTTGGTTTTGTTGGAGGTGCCAACAGTTAATTATGGCCTTACTGGTGTAACTAAAGGTGTAATTAATCATTCAAGCAATTGTTACTTCTAAAAATTACAGCTTCAGAGAAGAGGCCTGGCAAAACCAATAGACTTAATTTTTGTATCGAGTTCTTTATGTGAAACTGGGATTGTATCAATAGTCAGAAACCACTTTATTATCATAAATAAGAGCCATATGTGATTAGTGTAACAGGGCACAATAACTTAGCAAGGTGGCTTTAAACCAAGTCACAAAAAAATTAAGATCTAGCAAAACAGAGTGACAAAAATAAAATGACAAAATAATGGAGAACATATTCATAATTTGACTTGAAGGAAAATGTTTATTTCCCTAGTCTGTAGAACAGCTCCAATGAATAAATGTCCATCTGGCATAAACATATAAGAAATAGAAATGGTAGAAAATGTTAATCTCATTGATAATTATAGAAATGTAAATTAAAACCAGTAGAGAATCATACCACTTTTTTCATTAAATAGGAAGATGTGATAAATGTGACAAAATTCAACAATGGCACAGGACTTAGAAAAAGTTGCACAGATATCTTGCCAATGATGTAGTGAAATGATGAGTTACAGACTTCTTACGTTTTGGCAGTCTGTCAAGTCACGAATCGTGAAGTCATGGAAGTGATCAGGCCCTCTGTACCAAACTTACCCTCTGTGGGGAAGATATGCCAACAAGGGACCTTGAAAGGGAGAGTAACTCCTCGTATAACAATGTTTAGCACCACATCACATATTAATGCTAAAACCTGGAATATATCCAACTATTTAGGAAAAGCTGGAAAAGTGGTATGTTAATGTGGTAGTGTGTGTGTGGCCATTCGAAGACACCAATATGGAAGAATTTTATATAGAAAGATGTAAATGAGGTAAAACATGAAAATGATGTATATATACACTGGGAGCCAAACTGTAAAATTATTTCTGCATGGCAGGATTGTGGAAGTTTTAGAAATGGAAACCACTGATTTTCAGGGCAAAGTTTCTCCAATTTAATTGTGCAAAAGTGATCTGTGGAGCTTGTTAAACCTGGGGGGGTGTCTGGAATGTAGACTCAGGAACCTGCAAGTTTACAAAAACCCTTAGGTGGAAATACTGTGATAAATGTTAATTTAGTGGGCTGAGTGTTGGGAGTATTTTTAGCTCCTTTTTATGTCCACATTTTTACATATACATAATAAAATATTAAACAGTACATTTTCAAGCATTCAGTGGGCTCATCTTATTAATAATGAATCTGTCCAGAGACATATTGGGAGACTGACAAATACCATCAATGTATGTATAGCGCATAATTTCCCCCACAAAATGAAAATGCTTTAAGCAGAGAACAAAGCCAGTTGAGAGGCAGGCTGCTAGGTGGCAGGCTAGGCTCAATCAACAGTGGAGCACTCTGTCCCTACAACCCACTAACCAAACCCCGCATTGGCAAAATCACTAAGTACCTCAGAGCACTCACTACCGTACTCAGCCCTTAGTAGCAGTGGACACGTGACCACTCCCTCCTCTTTGGTACATTTTCCTCACTTGACTTCCAGGACACCACACCCTCATGGCTGTCCTACCACACTAGTGGAACCTTCTCAGTCCTCTTGTGTCCTCCACGACCCCTGACTCAGTCCATGCCCTTTTCTCATTTCTATCTCTACTTACTCCCTAGGTGGTCTCAATACTCTCACAGCCTTAAACACGACCTAAATGACACAGACTCTCCCACCTGGACCTCTCCCCTAAACACTGGACTGCTGCTCACTTAACAACCCAGTATTAGTGAGTTGCTTCCTTAACAACTCCATGCAAATGTCTAATAGCCTTCTGAAACTGAACCTATCCTAGAGTAAGCTTCTGCTATTCACTGCAAACTCTGTTAATGACCACTCCATTCTTCCAGTTGCTCAGGCCAAAAACTCTGAAGACATCCTTGATTCTTCTTTTTCTCTCACACCCCAAATAAAAGCCATAATAAAACCCTGTTGGCTCTACCTTCAAAATGAATCCGGAATCACAACCCTTATCTCCAGCTCCATTCCTGCCTTGCTGAGCTGAGCCTTCAGGAACTCTGGGCTGGGTTACTCCAGCAGCTTCTCATTCAGCTCCCTGCTGCCACTCTTGCCCTCAGCTCCCAGTCTATGTGAAACACAGCCGGGAAAGCGATCCCTTTAAAACTTAAGTCAGATCATGGAATTCCTTTGTCAACCCTTTAAGAGATTTTCATCTGACTCAGAGTACACGCTAAAGCCCTTTCATTGGTTTAGGGGGCCCTCCCTGGTTGGACCTCTGCTACCTCTCTGACTTCCTCTTTTCCTAGTCTCCCTCTCATATGTTCCACTTCAACCACACTGACTTCGTGCTATTCCTCAAAATAGGCAGTGTCCTCCTACTTCAGTCTTCAAAATGGCTCTTCCCTCTCTTTGAAATGATTTTCCCTTCATCACATATCTACATGGTATTTCCATCAGTTGCTACAGTCTTTGTTTAGATGTCTCCTGCAGCCTGAAGGGACCACCGTTTTAAAGGTGTACTGACCCACACCTACCCCCAGTAGTGCCATCTTTCCTACCCTGTCCTATCCCCTTCTAGCATAAAACAGTATGTACTTACTTATCACATTTATTGTTTATTTTCGATCTTCCTCTCACTAGAATGTAAGTAACATAAGGTCAGAGAATTTTTGTTGTTGTTACCTCTTTCGTTCATGATCTATCACAGGTGCCTAAGCAGTGCCTGGCATATACTATCATTGCATAAATATATTTGTTGAATGAATGAAATAACACGTGTCAAAGCCACACAACATCAAGGCTCCGTCAAACATAGTAATTTCATGAATTATATCATTGTCACTCAAAAAGATAGAACTTTCTGTTAGCCTTATTCTCCAATTCACTTGTAGATACAATGTGGTAGAATTTAACATATTAGCCATAGAGACTTGGGGAAAAAATATGAAGTTGTGTACTTCTGCCTCAAGATGGAGTCTAAGTAGGCTCACTCGGATGCTTATGACAAACAAAGCATTGTACCCTTTCTTTAAAAAACCAGTTATAGGATCCTCCATGCACCCAAGGGTCTTTCTTTCATAGCAATGCCTCACCAGGCATGCTAATAAAGGTTTGGATCTTTTATCAATTCTGTATCTTAGGAGCCCCAGTTGTATAATAAGGTAGAAGCTAGAAGCAGCTAGAGAAACACCTTTGCCTACTCCTTTTCTCCCCATTCTTTCTACTTATCTTGGCTTCACAACACCTGCAAAATTTTGTCGCATTAAGTTGTCCACTGACCTTTCTTCCCTACTGGCCTGCCTATCTCTTTGAGACCAGGGACCATCGCCATATCCCTGATACCTACACGATACCTGGCAGTATATGTTGATTGCTCAACAAACATTCATAGAACCATGAATGATTCAGAGTTTTGTAAGGTAAGAGATATATTACAGAGACTAAAGTATTAATTCATACAGTACAGAGCTAATGAAAGTATTGATAAATCACCACAAGGATATAATTATGCAAATACAGAAGATCCCATGTTTTCATTCTTTTTTTGGCCAGAAAAGAAGCGCCTTCACTTGAAGCTATTTATTCACCATCAAAGGAATCCTGGCGTATATAAGCATAAATCCAGCACTCCTGTAGAGGATGTTTAGAATGCTAATAAAAGACCATTAGGATTAGGTTTGACTCCTGACTCAATGAAGTAGCATAACTTTGGACAAACACTTAGCCTTCTAGACCTCAGGTTCCTCACCTGTGAAGTGGGCTGATATTTCAGTTTACCTTCAGAATACTATTGTCAGGATCAAATTAGATTAAGTCTGTAAAATTTCTTTTGACACATAAAAATAATTATTTTGCCCTTCACTGTCTTTCTATTTTCCCTCAGTTTTCAGTCACTCAGAAAAAAATTAACATTTTTATCTAAGTTTTATATATAAATTACTATGAGCTCTTCAGAAAAAAAGAAAGCATTTGAATCTACAGTATACGCTTTTTCCATTTGCCCCAATCTTCCTTGAATTAATACAGAAAATAATTACCAAGTCTTCTTTTAATATTTTCCCTACACAAACATTTTTCTCCCATATTGGCTAATGGAGTAAAAATTAACGTGGAGCTTGGATTTAAGAATGCCTAAGCCCAATCACAACTAGTTTTGATATATTTCCAATTTCTGTATAAATGCAGCAATTCCTTAACTGGGCATTGCTGATCAAGGAAAAGTATACAAATCTGTTTCCTGATTTTTTTCTATATAAAATACAGGAAAGCTCATTTTCAGGTTTCATTCTAGAGACAGTATCTCTTCTTTGATGTGATTCTTTAATTTGTGATTTCTCACCACAGCCCTTGTTAGCTGTTTTTGTATCTCTCACCATTTTCCTACCTCAGAAACAAGTAAGCATAAGATAATCTGGGGGGGGGGGGGGTCACTGGAGAATCTACTGCTAACAGGGCAATTTTAACACTGCTCAACACAACTGATTACACTTACAGCCTGTACAAAAATGCCCAGGAATTAAAATGCAAGTACCACATTTCAGGTAAATTTTAACCTTACCAAGAAAAACAAACAACAGTAACAAATGGTCCCAGCTAACAAGATACACAGGGGTGATGGCAGGGACCACAGCAAACAGATGTAAGTTTGTTAATAAAAACAAAATAACTAGGGTGCCTGGGTGGCTCAGTTGGTTAAGCGACTGCCTTGGGCTCAGGTCATGATCCTGGAGTCCCGGGATCGAGTCCCGCATTAGGCTCCCTGCTCAGCAAGGAGTTTGCTTCTCCCTCTGACCCTCCCCCCTCTCATGTGTTCTTTCTCTCTCTCATTCAGTCTCTCAAATAAATAAATAAAATCTTAAAAAAAAATAAATAAATAAATAAAAATCTCCCCCCACCAAGTTTATGTTGTGAAATTAAAAACAGCAACAGCAACAACACAACTTACGGCAAAAGCCACTTGCTTACCTGACTTATGTCACTCGTCCAGGCAGCTTTCTCCTGGCGTGAAGGTGCTAACAAGACTACAGTGAAAGGGGCGGAATCAGGAGGCTCCACTACTATTTTAAAATCCAGGTGTCCAAACACTTGCCCAGAACCTTTGGCTTCAACACACGCAAAGCAAACAATTAGATGTGAATACAAAAATATGAGTGATAGCTGCTTTCACAGAGTTCTACTAAGATGACTGATGTGTGTTCAAATCCAGAATCTCATTTCAGCAACACGTGTACTTCTCCGGCAAGGGGAAGCCTTTACCAAGTTCAGAAGTAGATAAAGAAGCTGAGGTCAGCAGGTTACTCAGGACTAGGATCCCTGGCTCCTACTCATTTCCTGTTTTCTTTCTTTCTTTCTTTCTTTTTAATTTCCATAATCTACAGAATTCCAACACTCTCTAATTCAACTCCTTTCTTCTCTGCCTGCCACTGAAAAAGTCACTATCATGAGACAAATTCAGTAAAATATGAACTCCCAAAGATGGTTTAACGAAGTTCACAGGTTAAATGATTCAACAGAACTTTTCATATATAAATGACTTCAGGGAGTGTATTTTCAACATCTTCCCTGCCTCCTTAAGCAGCTCTTCTTAGCTATAAGTAGATAAAAACCGTAAGACCTTGTTATTCTACCATAATTCTAAGACATAGAATGTGACTTACAGTCATCATCACTCGCATCGGGCTCCTCAATCAACGTACATTCTATTAGAGAGAGAACCCCACCTGTCTGGAAACAAACCAATGTTTCATTAAGAGGCTGACAGTCTTGCATACGTTGGGAAGCTCAGATTTATAAACCTTTATTCAAATTGCCACAGAAGAAAGCACAACAGTCCTGCATCACAAATAATTTTTCATAGATTCCAAAACTAAATTTAGTTGTGTAAAAGCAATTAAACTCACTGAACTTCATGATTCTTCACCCCCAACCGACGCTCACTCCCAGTGTTTATAAATTGAGCAGGTCGGCCCGTGGGAGACTAGTTGGCACCTTGAGAGTGAATACAGCTGAGCCCACTAACCAGGAAGCGCTGCACGCAGTGGAAAACCATCATCATGGCGCCGGGTGAGAAGGCAGGCACTCTTAACAGAATGTATAGGTAGGCAAACTTTTTCTATAAAGAGCCACATAGTAAATCTTTTAGGCTTTGCAAGCCATATGATCTCTATCGCAGCTTCTCAAATCTGCCATTTTTAAAAGCATGAGAGCAGCCAGACAATAGGTAAGCACACGAGCGTGGCTGTGTGACAATAAAGCTATATTAAGGGTGCCTGGGTGGCTCAGACGGTTAAGCCTCTCTGCCTTCGGCTCAGGTCATGATCTCGGGGTCCTGGGATCGAGCCCCGCATCGGGCTCCCTGCTCGTTGGGAGCCTGCTTCTCCCTCTGCCTCTCTCTCTCTCATGAATAAATAAATAAAATCTTTAAAAAAAAAAAGCTATATTAACAGGCAGCAGGCTGTGGGCCGTGGTGTGCTGACTCCGTATAGGGCAAGATAAAATAGCATTTAGCAAATATTAGATCAGTACACTGTAGTGATTTAACAGGACTTCTGTAGCTCAACAGTAATTGTTCTTTCCAGGTGATGATTTTAATTGCATTTCTTTATAGAAACACACACTTAAATTTCTATTATTTTGGATACAACTGACAACAAAGTACATGTCAAGCTTAGCAACTGCATGGTTGCCTCACTACGCACCTGTGACAGTCTGGGTTTTTTGATACTAGGCATGGGAAAGCCATAATTAAGTTAACCTCAGCACCTCTCAAGTGCATGGACATAAGTGGAATAGTCATGTAAACCCGTACCTTGAGCAGATGGAGCTTTCCTCCTGAGCTTCTCGTACAAATTAAAAAGTGTTTTGTAAATAAGAAGCACTGTCTTTCTCCTTCCTTTTTCAAAGACAATGAACCCAGGCGAACTTTACTAAGTTTCCCCCTCTCAACAGAAGGTACTTGAATAAGAGAACCTGGTGATCACAAAAGTGAAGAATACACAGCAATTAAAATTCTGTCAAGTGAGAGCTGTTCTTGATGCAACAAACTCTAGGGCCTGTTTCCCAAGATACCAGGGACTTATTCGATGCACCACTCACTGGAAGTAAACCCGCTACACTCTGAGCAGAAGAGACAATGCGTTGGGTCTTAAGGGTCCAAGCAATTCCTACTACTTTTGTAAAACATTTCAGACTCATTGATTATTCATCTATAAACTTTACAGTAGGTTTGAAAGAAAGCCAAACTGGGATTCAAACAACAAGGCACGTCTGCCATCTGTCCCTTGGTGATCTGATCTCAGTCAAGCTCTTTACTTAAGAATAAGATACATATTGTATAATTACATATGATAATAATGACAACATAATAAAAAGAAAATAGAATTTATTCTTCCTGAGGCCATGAAGGTAGACAAAGAGCATATTAGTAGAGTTTACTTTGTATTTAAAAAATAAAATTTACAATGCATGTATATTATAAAGATACACAAATTATACAATTCAATGCAATTTAGTTAATTTTTAAAGGGCAGCTATTTCAGGTTCTATTGAAATTATGTGTGATGGGGCGCCTGGGTGGCTCAGTCAGTTGGGTGTCTGACTCTTTAATTTTGGCTCGGGCCGTAACCTTGGGGTTGTGGGATCAAGCCCCACACAGGCTCTGTGCTGGGCGTGGAGGCTGCTTGGGTTCTCTCTCTCTCCCTCTCCCCCTGCCTCTCCCCCACCTTGTGCTCTCACTTGCTCTCTTTCAAATAAAATATAAATAAGTAAATAAATAAATAAATAAATAAATAAATATAAATAAAGTGTGAGAAAAATTCTTTGTGAAATCTAAATGGAAAAGAAGTCATGAAGTCTATACCCAGAGCATTCCTGTGAGCAAACCTGTCTTCCATTCAATGTGAGAAGCTGTACAGAGACTTCATAATTTCACCTTGATAATGACCTCCCTCTCCCCACAAAATAAAATTCCAATCTAAGTTAGATATCAAACCAAAAAATACTAGGAAAGATTCTTGTAAATACCTTGACTTCTGAATTACCTTGAGTCAGCAATATTTCTACTATTTGTTCAATCTACTACCTACCCCACATGCAGCCTTACAAAGGCACGTATCAGTCCCATAAGAACCATTAAATGCATATCCAACCCTTTAATATTAACAGGGGTCAGCACTAAAAAACGAGATTGCAGGCAACCTCATTTCCTCTTCATACATTTTCTGCATTTCTTGATTATTTTTTAATGAGCATAGATTACTTCCGTAAGTGATGAAAACCCCACTAAAGTTGTTCGTATATGTAAAATGGTAAAACTAGGACTGTGTGGGTCACAAAATGTTCACATTAGCATATGAATATTCCAAATAGCATCTACTTCTTAACAGAGATCTAAAGAAGGGTGGGGCTGGGGTGGGGGTGAGGGAGTGGGGGGTGGGTGGGATCCAAGCCTCCATGTGCAGATTCCATCTATTCAGGTGAGTGTTTAGGTGGGGCTGCCTGACAGAGGCAGAGTAGGCAGCTATGGGGGGGGGGGGGGGGCAAAGAATAGCATGGAAAGAGTCCTGGGGGAGGGCGTGGGACTGAGGAACAAGGGGCAGGAGAAGGCTTGACTCCGCTGAAGGGAACAGGTAAGAGGAGAGGGAAAGGAGGAGGTGAGGCAGGTGGGAGCAAGCTGTCAGAGAGCACAAGCAGCAAGTAATTAAATTTGAAGAGTAAAGGAGGGGTGGGGAGAGCAGAAGGCAGAATGCCTAGAGAAGTAAATGAGCGAGTAATAGCAGAAGGATCGTACTCATGGGGCTCACGGGCTGGAATGAAAGCCAGAGGAGCTCTTTCAGAAGAGGACCTGATTCACCCCTCATTTCACAGAAGAGAAAACTGAGGCCTGAGGGGCTAAGCAGCTCTCTTAAGATCACACCAGAGTGAGTGGCATGGCCAGGAGACAGCAGTGGATTCAGCAACATTAAAACTGACCCTTGGAAAGGGATCGGATGGGAGAAGACAGTACATTCTAGCTTTGCCATGGGTGGTCGTGAGATCAGTTAGGGCAGACTGGAGCTTAAAACAAATATCTTGGTGGATAAACAGGTGTAGGAGTCATTTTCAGAAAGGTAACCAAGTTCATGAAGACTCAATATTATGTGTTAAGTGCTTCTAGCATTTAATGATTTTGTAAAACAGAAATTACAGAATATACTGTTAGCTCATATGTTAATAATACTGTGAATTTCACCTTTCAGGTAAAAAAAAATTAATGTTTCATTAGCAACGATACACTAATCTGCTTGATCTGTAACTGTTGATCTCGCTATGTATATTAGGTATATACAGAAGTCTGTATTAGGTATATAAAGCTTCTGTGATTTCAATCACTAAATTCCCATCAGAATTAAAAGTGAGTAATTTCAACACTATTGTTTGGTTTATAAAATAATCATATTGGAAAAAACATGTTAGGTGGATTTTTTTTTTCACATTTTATCTTATGTTTGACCTGGTGTTTCAACACAACTATAAGACTTGGGGACTCCCCTCTAGTTAATACAAGTTAAAGGAATATTTAGTATTAAATTAGTAATTCCTCAGTATCAGACCATTGCTGCAACACAGTCCCTTGCATCTCTATCACCGCTCAACCTAATAATTGGGGTCAATTTACAACAAAGCTTCTGTTAATTCAATCACTAAATTCCGAAAGAGTGGCATTCAGGACCGGCTAACGCCCTTATTCTTCATTCCACTCAGTAGTGAGAAGCAACAAAGAGCAATTTCCAGGTTATTTGGTTAGGTATTTGAGGAGGTACAATTATTTCCAGACCCCATGTTACAATTCCAAAGAACACTGCTACACTGAAAGGACGTAATTTCCAGTCTGGGAATGATTAAGGTACCACAGAGGTCCAGGTCTCATTCTCAATGCATTTAGCTCTGAATTCGGTCACCTTCACTTAATGATCCTGAGTCACATTTCCACAAGACGTTGACTATGTAGAACGGTTTTGTGCAAAATGTCAACTTAGTAAGGTGCCTTATCGTCTACTAAATATTCATATATATTTCATGTTACTGAAAAATAGAAACTCATTTCAAAATTTAGATCTTGGTTTTTAAATTTACATCATACTCACACAGGCACTAGTCTAGATGCTCCTGTGAGCATTATTAGTCCGTGTCATTTTCACCACATCCCGAAAAGCCGGGTACTATTAACTCCAACGCAAGGAGAGCAAACGGAGGCAAAGGAGGGTTAAGTAAATTGCCCAGTATCCTACAGCAAGGAAGAGGAGGGGGCAGGATTTGACGTCCAGTGACATGGTTATGCTGTCTTCCTATTGTTGCCTTGGACTCTTACACTTTAGTTCAACAAACTCTGAGTAGACTTTAGAAAATAAATGACATTGGGACGCCTGGGTGGCTCAGTCGGTTAAGCGTCTGCCTTCGGCTCGGGTCATGATCCCAGGGTCCTGGGATTGTGTCCCGCATCGGGCTCCTTGCTCCCTGCTTCTCCCTCTGCCACTCCCCCTGCTTGTACTCACTCTCTCTCTCTCTCTCTCTCTCTAGCAAATAAATTAAAAAAAAAAAAAGAAAGAAAATAAATGACATTATCAGACCGCAATATGATATAGTCCTTTGCATCCTGCTCATCAACTGTTTAATCATTAGAAACAATTTACAATAAAGCTTCTGTGATTTCAATCACTAAATTCCCACAGATTGAGATTTGAGATTAGGTGATGCCCCTATTCCAAGGAGGCCTTTTGGGTGACCTGGATGGTTTCTTTTTTCTAGTCCTCAGAATAACAATTCATTTAAGATTAAAACCACACATATATTTGTGCATATGCGCACGTGCGCGCATCCACACACACACACACACACAGAAACATACCTCATACCTTCCCTAAAAGTAAGTAACACAAATACTAGTGGACAATTAGAGCTAGGTTGTAGTCCATTTCAAAGAAAATAGAATCCTTCAAAGTTTAAAAGAATAAGAAACCCACCTCACTGGGTTTTAAAGTCTGTTAAGGGTATTAAGGAGAAGTAATAATAGGAGCAACCAAAGCAAAACAATGTAAACTTCCCAAATTATATGTAATTGGATTCCTTTCTACTTTCAGATTCAGGTCTGATTTTTTAAAACCAACTTTATTGAATAATTCCTAAACACACTAACCAGCCAAACAATACAGAAAAATACTGTAAAGACAAATCATTATATCAACATCAATACAATAATAACATCAGATATATTAATAGCTGACAGAAGTGCTTTAACCATGTGGCACAAACAGGCAATCAGTAACATCTGGACAGGAATCAAAGGGAGAGGCGGCTCATGAGGGCTTTTCCTCCAGGTGCATTGAAAAAAAAAATGACTTATTCAATATACTCGGCCTTCCAGCATTTTTCATTAGAGATGGGTTTTTTTTCAAACTTAGATAAGAGCAGTCTAAGTTTGTAGAAATAAATGTTTATGCATAATACTTTTCAATCAAAAGGCCTTTCAGAAATAGAATACTAGTTACAGAAACATTTGTTTGCATTCTCATGTATTCTAAAGCTCTAGTCAATTAGTATTTTTTCCATGAACTTCAAATACAAGAAAAATACAAAACAAGACATCTAACAACCCAAACTGCAATTCAACAAGCAATTCAATTTACTCCAATGCCCGTCTTTCAGGTATCTACAATGGAAAGCAGCGTATACGGCAGGAGAGAATTCATAAACACGGCCCTCCAGAGTTATAATGGCTGGGAGCGACAGGCGTGCCAATGTGTACCTATAATGAACCAGAGGATAAAACATGCACGAGGAGGGAGGGGCCTCGAAACCAGGAGGAAGGTAAAGTCATCCTAACTGGAGGGAAGGGGAGAGAAAGATGAGCAGAAAATTGTAAAAGGCTCCCTAGAGGAGTCTGACCTGAGCCCAGAAGGACACGCAGACCTTTGATAGGCACAGAAGGGATGGACAAAGGCAGTCCCCATCCCCGGGCTAGGGACAGCGCACGAGAAGGCACAGAGCCAGGCAAGGGCCAGGAAGGCAGGAAGCCATGTGGGGACACAGTCTGTGCGGAGGAACAGAGGGGGATTAGGGAGGCCTGATGTTGTTTAGCATTATACTGTGCTATATTTAAAGGAAAATCAATATCAAAAGCCAAAAATGAGAAAAGTTATCATTTCCTAAAATATACTTCCAAACTTGAACATATGTGTAATTTCTCTCTCTGTAAATAAATAATGGAAAATAGAAGAGCGCGTGTTACATTTTTTAAGTATTCTGTGCAAAAAAATGTATGTTCACAACTCAAACAATGTCTTGTTGGATGAGGTAAAAAAAAAAAAAAATGCTAAGCAGCACATTTTGGTAGGCAACGGAAATGCAAATATCTCCAATGATACCAGCACATTAGGAACAGAAACTACATTAAAGGTTAATCCTAGTTCTAAATTCATGTGCCACTGCTCACCAAGTCCAAAACTATAAATGTGCGCAATGTATCGTCTCAGATCAACCCCATGGGGCGTGCTCCCTCCCCTCAGAACACCTAAGCACTGAAAAAGGACTTTGGATGGGGTTTAGGGCCCCGGAGGGAGCTGCGCTGTTCGGTGGCTGCTTTCTCCACAGCTCCAACACTTCCAAAGCTTTGTATACTAGGGGATGCTGGCCAAGCGCCCACCCCCCAGACAAGACCCACTGCCCATTACCAAAGCCTGGCAGGGGTCAAGAGGCATTTCACTGGGCAACTGGAGTTGCCAACAGAATCAAATCATAGCATGTGGGGCTGATCCAGAAGTGCTGATGAAGAAGGGGAACAAGAGACAGCTGTTTTCACTTCGGACATTGTCCCCACCGCTACGGGAAAGGGCTTTGAGTAACGCAAGCTTCTCTTGGGCCTTGGCCTGCGTGTCGTCGCCACCTGGCACTGGCACTCTCCTCGGCCAGACCGATCTGTCCTCCTTGGAGCTGTAGAGAATGTCTGGTCCACTGAGGAGGAGAGTCCAGTCAGAATGTAATTTACTGTCCCACTCGTGCTTTACTATTATTGTGTTGCTGTTTTTCATGGCCCCTGAAAAGAGACAGCACAAAGGTGGGCCTCACGCACAGCCTCGGTTCAAAGCCAGGGGGACGTCCTGCACGAACAGTATCAATCACACAGCTCCATGAGGCCTGCTCCAAAATGCCTTCCAGGATCTGCCAGGGATAATGTGACAGTCGCCGAGGTCGTTAAGACCGTGGGTCCACCGAACAAGGACTTACCTTGGCGGATGAAAGTCTGGCTGGTGTCCAGCAAAATATCACAGCCCTCTACGATCATTCTTTCTATGGCAAGGTTCTTCCTTATGTTTTCAGTGTCACTCACTTCATCGTGCATTATCCTGTCAGACACAGCATGGACAGATCACGGGGAGAGAGATTTTCTATAGCCCCAGCCGGTATGCAAAGAGCTCTCTCTGGGAAGCTCAGTTTTGAGCTTGGATCAGTACAGCTGAGGCTGTGGGGAGAGCAGACCTCCAGGCTTCAACCAGCCATGACTCAAACCAAAGCCAATGTACATCACGATTCTAAATGACAAATGGGTCAGCGCCCAATGAGTACCCTGGGCATGTTGCTTATAAATGCAACAGGAAAGCAACATATTATTTTATGAACAGCTCCCTTCACTGAAATTAGAATGCCATTCCTCAGAGGTAGAGCAAATTAGAGACGTTTATCCATTTATTCCATATAAGCTAAAGGAACACGGAGGTAAATAATTCCCTGAAACGGTGAAAACTCACTGAAAAATCCAAAATACACATTCTCTAGCTTCTTGTCAAATATGAACACAAAGATACAACTAAAAATCATTTTCCCCATTACGCTAAAAGAAATGTTAACATTTTCGAACTTAAACCCAAATACACCTATAATCTCAATTACATAAATTCACATGCTATAAAAACATTTTCAAAGATGTATTTTTTCTTGGTTAAAATTAATGTGTATGCTGATTCAGTACCATCTGAAGAGCCAGCATTTCACGTTCAGGTGAATCTGAGAAGCTGGACTATGCCTTGCTTCTTGCTCCCTGGACATAAATATATTAGGTTTCCACAGAGACCAACTTACTGCTTTCTCGAATCAAGCCTTTATATCAGTTCTCCACATACCTGGACAGTTCCTCTAGTTTCGATTTAGCAAACTCCAGACTTTTCCTTTCCACATGCTCATGGGGTGTATGAGCTAGGAGTTCATGAAGTGTGATGATATACCTGGGGATCTAAATGCAAATAAAGGCCATCGTGAGCAAGAGGTCAGGATGAGTAACCCTGGGATGTTCTCTACTGTGCCATCATCATGTCTGAGAGGCTCATCTCTACTTTAACAGTTTTGAAATGAACTATGCTTCAAACTTCACACACATACACATACACACATTCACCAAGAACACAAGAAGAGAGTAATAAAATATTATGTTCCAAAGAAACAGTTGTTTCTTTAGATTTTTTAATATAATCATATATTTCTTAATCATAAGATTTGAAAATTGGCTCATAGGGAAACATAAAGCAATTATCAAGTCACATGAGTCTATATTTTAGAAATATTCGTTCACAATTTCTTTTTTATTTGAGAGATAGAGAGAGCACGAGAGGGGGGAGGGATAGAGAGAGAGAGAGGGACAAGCCGACTCCCTGCTGAGTGGGGAGCCCCACATGGGGCTTGATTCCAGGACCCTGAGATCATGACCTAAGCCAAAGTCAGATACTTAACCGATTGAGCCACCCAGGCACCCCCACAATTTTTTTTTAAATTCACAATCCTACTGCAATGTTCTAAGAATTAAAACTTGGGAGAAGATATACTCACCTTTATTAAATTCTCATCCTACTTTACCCTAACTCGTCCTTCTAGCAGCAAAAAGTATTGTTAATTACATTATTTACTTATACTTTTGTTTATGGATAAACTACCTGAATTCTGTCAAAAGCAGAAACTCCACCAGCCCTATGAAGATTTTAATAGAACACTGTAGAGATTTAACTCAAGTTATAGCGATCCTACATATTCATTTTTTACTGGCTTACAGACTAAAATTTTTTAGAAAGCTGAGGCAGCGGCCTTAATTTTAATAACAACATGCATGAACCATGGTATCATAACACTGGCTGCTATGGGTCAGATCAGAGCTCGAGGTTGGTGTGTACACCCAAACCTTCACAGCAACATAAGGGTTATTTCTCCATTTTTCAGAGAGAAGGAGGAAACAAAGTGTGAAGCAGTCTGGTGACCTGCCCAAGGTGGTCTCACAGTAAATGCCAGAGCCAACCATGCTCATGACTTTAACGGGTGCACGAACCCACTGGGTCTCTTCTGTGGGGCCTAGGGTCTCACTCGGCCCTTGCAAGGACTTCTGAGAATGAAGAAAGTAAAACAGGATGCAGTGCCTAGCTCCTTCCATCCTGTCCTGAGGTGTTAGCGGCTCTATCCATGGATCTGCTTCTGCTCTCGTTCAGGTGGTGGCCTTCACTGGGTTACTTACTGTGGTTTACTGAAAGCCCATGTTTATGCATGAGCACAAAGGGCAGTACCACGAGCACAGACATGGATCTGCAGCTGATACTCTGGGACCGTGTCCTAGGGAATGTCATCATATTAAGGTTTGGGAAGTTCAGACAGACTCCTTAGAGGAGGGAGACTCCTTCCTCTGTAAGACATGTGGAGGACGCTTTCTGTCTCTCCGTCCCATAAAACTTCTCCTGGTAAAGGCCCCTGGGATACGTACACTTTCACATATCCCTTCTGCACAATGTCATGATGGGTAAGTTTGCCTCTAAGTCAGCAGTCCTACAAGAAAATCAAGGCAATCAACAGCTAATGCACTACATTTTTCATAACAAAGAAGGTAGGAGTGGGAGAGCCTGACATTTATAATGCATGCACTGAAAACCCACAAAACTAAGTTTAGTCAATAGCTTCATGATCTTCCCCCATTAATTAAATCTATTTTAGAGAGCTCCTTGGCTAAGATTCAAGTAGATGGATTTGAAATTCGGAGACTGGCCCTTTCAACTTTCTGGTGGAAGAACAAACAAGCCTGAAGCTGCCAAAAAGCCGGGAAAGGACATTCTGCAGAGAAGTGGACGACTCTCCAAAGAGAGTCCACTGTATAGTCAAGAGCTGATTATAAATCTGTTTCACCTCAAAACCAAGAATCACAGTAAGTGCTGTCCAGACGAATCTAATTCTCCTTTCAGTTATGGAACAATATTTGTCACTTTATAGACATTAATTAGCTGGCTCTCCAATTACAGTGACTAGGCGGCTAGAGCTGCAAGTGGCTACTTTCTGGAGAACATCTCACACCACTGTTCTTGTCAGGGGCAGATCTCATGAGTGGCCTACCTATGGACTTATGAGCAGCTGAAGCCAATTTAAACGGTACCCTTCAAGCCACTGCCTTTGCTAATGAAAAATTATGTTAATGACTACATTATTTTCCATAACAAATTTTTTTCTTGGCAACACTTGGACTTACTGGTCTGATAGTTCAATTGAGGATAAATTTACTGCATCATCCAAATTCTACAATTCCCCCATGTTTCCATAGCTCACCATAGGACATTAACAGCAACAATGGACTTGATGAAGGGCCCAGAAAAAGGAAGAATATCACACTTTTCTCTTCTACACATACACAGGCTAAAGGCTGCCAATCGCCTCTCCCCTGTGCCCACACCAACCTCCGCCCCCATGTCTAGACTCAAGAAAAAGTCTGGCCAGAGGTCCCTTGGTGGCATGAACTAGGGTCACATCTTCTACCGCTGCCTTATAGCAAAAGAGGTGTGGTGCCTCCACCTCGGCCCAAGGTCCAGCCTCCACTAGAGCAAGGAGGTGCCGAGGTACACAGCGTGCAAAGGGAAATAGCGACAGTTAGACCCTCCGAGGGAGCCAACGCTTCCATGACTATTTCCCCGCATTTGTGAAAGAACCCAAAGGGAACAAGAAGGACAGAACGAACCTAGGAAGAAAAAAACCTTCAAGCTTCCAGAAAGGGCAATTCTCCCCCAAGTGTCCCATAGGGTCACTCCTAGGGAGAAGGCAGGAAGAAGAGACACCAAGCGAACAAGGCAGAGGAGAGACACCCAAGGAGAATGAGGCTCTTAGGTAGCAAATTCTGATGGGGCTTCCCCTCTTGGTCTGTTCAAAATAGTTATAGGGAAGCAAATAAATAAATAGCACAATTCCATGTTCTTTCAACTTGCACATTTCTTGCAGTTTGGACCAACGCTGGCTAAATTATCTTCAAGTTTGAGGTTTCTCCCAGAACAATGGCTCTCATAACCAGTGCCTTTGGTTACCCTGGTCTGGAAGAAGCCAGAGAACCTCAACATCTGACCCTTCAGCTAAATTCTAGGGTTTGGGGCCACCACAGTCTTGGGATAAGGATTCTTGGACAAACACCAGGCTCCTTGCACTGCCACATAGTGACTTCCAGAACCGGTGTAGTCCCCCTAGGATCACAGATTCAGATAGCTAGAGCTCTGGGAGATGACTAGAGCTCAGGTGCCTCAATTTTAAGAGTAAGAAACCGAGATTTAGATTAGTTCAATTATTTTCCTCAATGGGACAACTGAAGAGTGAGCAAGACATCCAGGTCTCCTAAAGATTCTCAGTCCAACTGTCCTTTCCTGACATTATGGGAATTCCTTGGAGTCAATCAAAATGCCAAGTCATTCTGACTGGGGCTTATACTCCAGGGCAAAGGAGGGCAGGTGGTAGGAGAGTATCTCAGCATTTGTAAGGTGATCCGAAGGGCTTTCCAAGGCCCTACATTCTACTGTGTTTGGACACCTCCCCTAACATGCAAGTGCAGTTGTGGCATTTTAAAACACTGAATGAGACCAAGGGGAAATCAAATAGGCCTTGGGAAGACATCAGTGGGCTGTCAGAAAGGGAGCTAAGTACCTCCCTGAATGTTCCATGTGCCTTTCACCACTCTACCTTTGAAAATTCACCTGAAATGAAGTTGCCAAAAAGACACAATTTCGGGTATTTAGTCCTAACCCGGAGGTAACTGCCAAAGGTTCAAACAGAATCTCAGAGCATTGCACTATATAAAGTTTGTTTCACTATAAATAAAAGCTTAAATTATAATTTTTATAAGGTTAAAAAAAAAGCAAACTTTTTTTTTTTGCTTTGAAGTTTTTCTTGCAAAATATTTCCTCAGAGAGGCAAAGAGTTTAAACAACTCAGTTCCATGAGAGAACACAATAACATTATAAAGTTTCACTATATTTAAGTCATTTCAAATGCATCCTTTTGGTTTTTAAAAATCTTACTAAACCTCTACGGTGACTTCCAGGATTTCAAGCAGAATTGACAAACTTTAGGATAAACAATTATGAACCAGAGCAACATTTCTTTCGGAGGCTACAAAATGATCAGCTGGGGTCAGTGATGCCTGTTCAGGGGGGCAAAGCTCTCCGCAGAAGCCCTAACACATGATTAGGAGAATTGGTTTACCACATGACAATCTGGAGGCCTGGCCAGAAGCCCCATAAATTCCACAATGAGAACACTCAATGCCTGTCCAAAAGAACAGAATCTACACTTTTCAAAAGAACAGGAGATTCAATCCACATTTTGGCCTCTGCTGTCCTCACTCAAGGACTCTTCACGGTAAAGCCCTAGCTACAGGCAAGAACACAAGTGTGCTCGATCCCTCAGGGTGCTCTAATGCCAAAAAGTAAACCTAAGGACAAGCCCCAGCCTCAAGGCAGCAACCCAACTAGGGGCCAAGAGTCCCCAGGTCCAGCCAGAGCCTCCAGACCCTTATGTCTCCACAGCCTCTGTGACCCAGTACGTCCTCCTTTTGCTCCCCAGAGCTCCAGACCAGCTCAAGACGAGCTTCAAAAGCAATTGTAACAGGGCGGGGAGGATGGGCAGGAAACAAAGACTTTCCCAGCAGCCACTCCACCCCGCAGAAGCCTTTTATGCAACCAGCATATACTGGAACTTTTGCACAGCATCCTATTTCTGTAAACCTGATAATATTTTTAAACATGCTGGAGGAGGACACTCCATGGAAGAAGTCTGTGTGGAATCTTTCTGTAAAGAGAAAATTGTGCTACTTTGCAAAAAAATCCTTCCTGATTTAATTGCTCCAAAAATGCCTGGTTTAAAAAAACAACAACAACAAAAAAATGATGCCCGCTTTTCTTCCCTATACTACACAGAGAGAAAATGGATGGCATATATTTGTTTATCTCAGGGTCAAGCTCAAGACGACAGACAACGCACTTGTGCCATAATCCCCCACAGGGCATCCTTGCACACCTTGCTCTGGTCACCCGAGGTACCAGCACCACCAGACTGCAATCACTGACTTATGAGATGTGTCCCAGATGACTTACCTGAAACATTGGATAGGTCAGGAACGTTTCCAGCATCCTCCCCTCACAGGCAGGGTTGGCTTCATACTGTTTCAAGAGTTTGTCAAAATCTCTGTTTTGCTTACAGTTGGCAAGCACTTGGAGGCTGTACTGGTGATTACGCACAAATTCTTGATAAATGTTCAACATGGGGAGCAAAATATCGAACAGATCAGCTGGAAAAAAGAAGTAAACATGGCAGTTTCTCTCTGTGCTTGGTAAATTCTCAAGGGATGAGAGGCTCTGTTCACTCCATGGGACTGGCCGAGAGGGGCTCCCAGCACCGGGGTCACACGTGCCCGGGGCCCCCCACTTCAGATGCCTAAATGACTGATAGATCTGGTAGAATGAACCTGTGGGTGGGGCACAACTCTAGCCCCAGATGCACCGTGACAGGCCAGGGGAAAGGGCTGGAAGGGCAATGAAAAATAAGCCCAGTACCCAAGGAAGCTCACAGGTCAATGGGGAAACTCAGACAATGTGGGCTCAATGATGTTGAAGTTACTTTACGTTAATTGTAGCCATATTAAGAGAAAATCTTTTACCTCTAAAGCATGCACTTACCTAAAATTAGAGTAGGCCAGTTTGCTATCCTTGCCTTCAGTCCTTGGTGAAATATTTCATGAAGAAACATGATCGTTTCACTATAAAAAAAAAAATGGAAAAATAATATAATCCAGTCATTGTAAAGTGTCTATTTGTTAAAGAAGCCCACTGAGTCCTTAAAGTCTTAATAAATACATGATATACATGTCTCCCAGGGGAGACAAACTATATACCCAATAATAACATGGATTGCACTAGCCCTCACAAAGCAATGTGCCTTCCAATCTTTTTTTTTTAAGATTTTATTTATTTATTTGTCAGAGAGAGAGAGAGCACGAGCAGGGGGAGTGAGAGAGGAAAAGCAGGCTCCCCTCTGAGCAGGGAGCCTGATGCAGGGCTCCATCCCCATGACTTGAGCCAAAGGCAGATGCTTAACCGACTGAGCCACCCAGGCATCCCCCTTCCAGACAATCTTAAAAATTCAAAAAAAATTCTGAGCTAAGCTTCAAATACTGGAAGAGAGTAAGTCCCAAATCACTGTCATATAACTCTCTTTATCAATTTATAATAGAAACATCTTTCTACTTAGAATGTAGCACTTCAACTGATAATCAAAAAATTAGTTGTGATCCTTTTTCTCTTAGATTTGATTTTACATGATAACTCAGGGAAAGGACTCTCTTTAATCAAAATGAGTTTTGACAGGAGAGAGGGGAAAAAGTCCATAGCAAAGGTTTGGCAGAACTCTATTGTAATCACTCCTAAGACTCCCAAGACAGAAATGTGAAAGAATCCTCTGAAAAGGACGAAGCCTACATGGAGTTACTAAAATAAGAACTATGCATTGTTAGAGGTCCAAATTTCTAAAAGGTTCAAGAAGAGTAGTTACCAAAGCAACTTTTGCTTTCTCCTCATTACAATTCACCCACTGGCATGAACCTCTAAAGCCTTTTCTGAACTAACACATCGACACAATTAAATATAGAATCATTCATGTAAGTGAGATACTCTGGTTTGCTGAAGTCAAATTCCACTACATAAACATCAATGGGAAATCCTGAACTTTTCCCAAATGGTCCCTGAAACAAAAAACACACTGCTTGAAGAGGATAATTTGTTTTTCTTTTACAGAAATGTTAACCAAGCGGTGTTTGCTGTGCAAGGATTTCAACCAAATCTAGTTTGGTGCATATTGTGTATTAGTCTTTCAACCTCCATCCCGTCCTCCTTCTAGGTGGACGGGATGGAGAGCTAAAGCTACGCTCCCCAGCCTCCCTTGGCAATGCGGTTCTGGATGTGAGTTCAGTTCTACCAGTTGCGCCGACGGATGCACTTGGTAAGACACGGAAGACAGGAGTAGAGGCGATCTTCCTGTTGCTGAAAATCAGTCATGGAGATGTGTGTGTTTTAGGGGCCATTCCAGCACCCAGCTTCACCGTCCTAGTTTCTAGGCAACAGCTTCCCGGACCTGAGAGGCAAATATGACGGCAATGGTGGTGGTCGTACTGTGCTAACCACTGAAGCATGTCTGTGGTGCTGTGCCCTTGAACTCAAAGCTCCGGGGGCAGCTCCCTGACGTTACTCCTCCAGCTCTTCCAAAGACTTCTGTAAGTAGTGAACTCCCTCTGCTCACAGAGAGGCTTTTCTTTCCTACATTGAAAATGTATATAACTGATATATCTACTTTCATATTTGATACCTTGATGGTTAGAAAACAGACGAAACAATCTTGCACGTAGATAGGGAGGTTATTTTTTTTTAAGTATAAACTCTGTTGAAATTCAAAAACATCGGGCGTCTGTGTGGCTCAGTGGGTTGAGCATCAGACTTGGTTTCAGCTCAGGTCATGATCTCAGGGTCGTGAGAATGAGCCCTTCATCGGGCTCCACGCTCACAGAGTCTGCTTGTCCCTCACCCTTTGCGTCCCCCCACTTGCTCACTCTCATAAATAAATTTAAAAATCTTAAAAAAAAAAAGAAATTCAAAAAAATTGACCCGCCATAACTGGAAGCTTGTACCTCCCACTTAGGCAAGGCAAGGAAAGGAATCCAGTTAAACAACAGCAATGACAACACCCTATAAGCCTCAGCTTTAAAAACATACCTCCTCAGTATGTTAACTGGAATTAAAATAAAACTTTTTTAAAAAGCAAAAAATAAAAATAAAAACATAAATCTTAAAAATAAATAAAATCAAAAAATCAAAACATACCTCTTCAAATCTCCATTAAGGACTAGGTATCGTAATCAACTGCTGTGTGAAGAGGTTACAGCCTTGCCTTCCAAGAAGAGGCACAGCACATCCTGACTCCGAATTTAAACAATATGACAAGCCTGGCCTTCCGCATTGCAGATCAGGCAATCCAACGGAAACAAATCCCCAGAGGTGACCGAAGACCAATGCGGTGCAGAGTGCAGTTTACCATCCTTTCCGTTGTCCTCAGAACCATTGGAATGACGTTCTTGGCTGACGCATTGCCAAAATGCGAGCTGCGCAGCCTGAGGAGCAGAAGCCCTCCCTTAGGTCCCTGGCGATGTCCCACACACTTGAATGTGGCCACTGCCATCTAATGTGGGGAGATCTCCCTCCCACCTCACAAAGAGAAGTCAAGCTTCTAATCCCCTGTTAACAAGTTTCCATCCAGGGGCACCTGGTGGCTCATCAGTTAAGCGTCTGACTCTGGGTTTCGGCTCAGGTCGTGATCTCAGGGTCTTGAGATCAAGCCCCAAGATGGGCTCTGCGCTCAGTGTGGAGTCTGCTTGACATTCTCTCTCTCCTTCTCCCTCTGCCCCTCCCCTCTCAAATAAATAAATAAATCGTTAAAAAAACAAACAAGTAACCATCCATCAACCACTCTTTTTGCAGTCATCTATAAACCCCCAGCTGTGCCTTTTTAAATATTTAAATGCATTTTAATTGTGATCTATGATTTAGTCCCTAAAATCTTCCTTACAGTGTTTTCACTTTATAAATACCCAGGGAAAATAACCTTTATCTCATATTTGGCAATAACTTAAATGCAGGCTCGGGGATGGGTAAAATAAAGGGAATTAAGAGTACACATATCCTGTTGAACACTGAGTAATGTAGAGAATTGTTGAATCACTACCTTGTACATCTGAAACTAATATAACACTGCATGTCAAATATACTTCAATAATAAAATAAAATAAAATAAGATAAGATAAATGCAAAAAAGCCTAATTCTTTAAAAAGCCGAATTAAAATATATTGCAAAAATTTTTGGTCTTTTTCTTCAAAAAAATTTTTTTACTACGGTTGATACACAATATTACATTACTTTTAAGTGTGCAATTAGTGATTTGACAAGTTTATACATTGTACTATGCTCACTACCATCTGTCCCGTTCTATCACTATTACAATACAACTGACTGTACTCCTTATGCTTTGCTTTTTATTCCCATGACTTACTCATCCCATAACTGGAAGGCTGTATCTCCTCCTCCCTTTCCCCCATTTTGCCCAGCAACTCACCCACCTCTCCTCTGGCAACCATCAGTTTGTTCTCTGCATTTATAGGTCAAATTTCGCCTTTTTGCTTACTTATTTATTTAATTTTAGATCCCACTTTTGAGTGGAACCATATGGTATTTTCTTTCTTAGTCTGACTTATGTCACTTACTATAACACCCTCCAGGTCCATCCACGTTGTTTCAAATGGAACAATCTCATCCCTTTTTATGGCTGTGTAATATTCTAGTGTGTGTGTGTGTGTGTGTGTGTGTATTATTATTATCCATTGGTCTATTGATGGACACTTACGTTACTTCCTTAAAGGAGTATACAGCCAAACATGTAGGTGTGTGAACATATTAACTAACAAAACTAATATGTTACTTTTCCAGGTTTTTATAAAAACAAACAAAAAGGGGGGACGGGAACATAGACTGTGTCATTCTCCAGTCCCTCTGACTTGGAGAGCACCCACGTGGCTCTTCCACCACTTGGCAAATTTCTGGTGTTGTCTCTTTTTTATATGCCAGTTGCTCTTTTAAACTGTGGCTTTTATTCTGTACCCAAGGACAGAGGAATCTGTTCCTGGCCCCTCAGTACTATCCAGTCCCACTGCTGTTTGCAGCATCAAGGGTTGAGTCCCTTTGTTACCATGTCTTCCTCTCTCTTGCTATTCTCTTGCCCTTCTCTCTATCTTTGGTTGTGCAGAAACTGTTCAGTCAAGCCCTCAGTTCTTCTTCAAGAAGAACTGTTCTATTAATAGGTGTAATTTGTTGTGTTCCATTGAGGAGGTGAGTTTAGGGTCTTCCGACATCACCATCTTGGAGCAAAACTCTCCCCAGCCACTCTTTTAATGCTTTGAGTTCTGAGCTCCAAGTTTCCAGCTCGCTGGCAGTCCTCTCTCCAGCATTACTCCTGTCGTAATTCTGGGCAACTCTAATATGCACAAAAAACAACACTGCAATATCCTGGCGTCTAGGGCCTTTGAACTCCTCTCCTCTAGGGATCTTACCCTTCATTGACCTCAACACTCCCTTGACTATACTTTAGACCTTGTCATTGTCAGTAACTACATCCCTTTCCTATCTCAGTTTCAAGCAAACTATTCTCTGACCACCTCCTTATCTTTCAATTCACTTCCTTTAGAATTCTGACTCTAAAAATCCTTTCACATCACCAGGACCGTAAGCCATGATCCTGTTATCACAACCCCCTCACACCATCATTTCCCTCTCCACACAGTTTAGATTCCATGGCTCATTGTTATAATCTCTTCTTTGCATATACCTTCAACTCCCCTATTCATTTCTCATTTCATCATATTAGCCTCACGCAACAGCAATAAGCCAACCATCCATCTACTCTGCACCTGCTCCCATGCAGCTGAAAGTGGCTAAAGAAAAACACAACCATCCTGACTAGTCTCACTGCAAAGGCATGACCACCAGCTTAATAGAGTAATATAGGCTCTTCCAGCTGCCTAACAATTATACTACATTATTTTACACCTTTCTTCTCTTATCTAACCCCAACACTTTCCTTCTATCAGCACTGTCACCACTTGTCCTTGCTTCCTAATAACATATGTGTCAAGGCACTGTTCCCTCCCTCTCTATGCTCCCAGCTTGACTTGAACACCATGTTCTAGCCACTTTTGTCTATGCAAGTTTATTGCTCCAGCAATTTCCCCCTCTCTACCTACATCATTCCCCCTTGTTATCAGTGTAATTTTTATCCCATCTTAAAACACACACAGACTTTTTTATACTTTTACATTTACCTCCAGGTGGCATCTCGTTTATGGGCTCCTCTCTATAGCAACACTGAGTTTTTGATACCAACTCTCTCCAATTATTATCCTTCCCCCCATTCTCTCCTAAGTCCCCTCCAATGAGGCTTTGGCCCCTCATCAAAGTTACCAATAAGCTCTGTGTTAAACCCACGGTCAGTTCTCAATTATCATTTAATTGACTTTTTTGACATAGTTCGTTCTCTCTTGCCTTGGTTTCCAGGACAACCCGTTCTGCTGGTTTTCATCCTACAGCCCTAACTGATAAAGTTCTTTATTCAAATATCAACTTATCTTTGAGGCCTTTCCAAAGGCTGGCTAGAGAAAAACTATGGCACATTCACATAATGTAAAACAATGTAGTGATTTTTAAAAAAATAGAATGCTCTTTAGATGTCAATATCAGAAGATGTCTAGAATATACTGTTAAATGAAAAAGGCACATATTGCAATGAGCACTGGGTGTTATACACAAATAATGAATCATGGATCACTACATCAAAAACTAATGAAGTACTGTATGGTGACTAACAACATAATTAAAAAAAGTGAAAAAGGCAAGTACATATTAAAGTTCATTGTCTTTTGTGTAAGAAGGGGGAAAATAACACTATATTCATATTTGATTGGATCTACATCAAGAAACACTAGAAAGATATATAAGAAACTAGTGAAAATGGTTAAATACAGAAAATGGGGGAAATGGGGTGGGCAGAGACAAAGCAAGAGTTATTTGGTATTTTCGTGTTGTTTTGAATTTTGAACAACGTAAATGTATTATGTATTCAAAAATAAATTACTAAATTTTACATAAAACACCCAGGCACCCCCATTTTTCCCTTCTCCTCTCCCCACCTTGACTTTTTCCACAACACTCATCACCACATAATATACTACATATTTCACTTATTCACTATTCGTTGTCTCTTTTCCCACATCAAAATTTAAGTACCATGAAGGCAAGGATTTCTGCTTTGCTCACTGACGAATCCTCATCAGGAAGAACACTATATATATTTATTGAGGAAAATAAATATGCTACAGATTCTCAGGCACTCTGTTAGTTATTGTTCGTTCTAAAATACATCTGTATAAATTACATGTAAAGACCCATTACTCACTCCATTTCCCTCAGTTTGTGAAGGAGGTTATCTTTCCCAACACATACATGCCCACACAATGATAAGAAAACATATGTCAAATAGAGGAAAAAAAACAGAAAACTAGATGCCATGATGCAAGATAAAGACATGTAAATTTGGACAAATAATGAAACACAAATGACAGTGTTCTTATTTTCAATATCACACATTCGTAAAGGTGAATTTATGATACCTATTCTTTTAAGAGTAAAGTAAAAATTCTTTTAAGAAATAGATACGCATTTTTCACATGACTCTTTAATTTATGCCAAGACAAACCTGTTGAGGAAAATGCTGCTGACATCATCGTGGCTGATGGGAGGCTTCTTGGAACTGGCTGCCATCCTCAGGGGCCGGAGGAAGCCATTGACCAGGATATAGAGCTGGTGAACGTACTCCGACTCGGCTTCAACCATGGTGAACACAATCTGGTTTCTCTTCCTCATACTTTCAGCATGAGGAGAACAAATGTAATCCTGCACAATAGTCTTCCATTTCCTTCGACACAACCATCCTCTCATGAAGCTCTGAACCTACAAAACAACAACAGAAAGATCTCAGGGAGCTGTGAGGATTGTTTCCATCCTGTGCCATATAAAACACTGCTTTTTTGTTAGTGCGTTAGTTGTCACATCACTAAAATAAATAATGGCAGGCTTTTCCAGATAACAGGCAAAAAGAGAATTTAAAAATAATATTTTTCTCAGCTTCACAAGTTTCTTCCCTATCTTAAGTTCTTTAGGACTGCCTGAATGGCCACCAGAATAGGATAATATTACATATTCAGTTATTAACATTTTAATAAAGGAATAACTTGAAGGTTTATTCTTTAACAATACAAAAGCAGATATTAAAAATTTTTTAATTGTGGTAAAAAAGCACATAACTTAAAATTTACCATCCTAACCATTTTTTTTTTTAAGATTTTATTTATTTATTTGAGAGCGAGAATGAGAGACAGAGAGCATGAGAGGGAAGCGGGTCAGAGGGAGAAGCAGACTCCCCGCTGAGCAGGGAGCCCGATGTGGGACTCGATCCCGGGACTCCAGGATCATGACCTGAGCCGAAGGCAGTCGCTTAACCAACTGAGCCACCCAGGCGCCCCCCATCCTAACCATTTTTAAGTGTATAGTTCATTAGCATTAAGTATTTCACATTGTTGTACAACAGATCTCCAGACCTTCTTCATCTTGCAAAACTGACACTCTATACCTATTGAAGAACAATTCCCCACTACTCCCTTCCCTCAGCCCCTGGTATCCACTGTTCTACTTTCTGTTTCTGTGAATTTAACCACTTTAGATAGCTCATATAAGTGGAATCACACAGTATCTATCTTTTTGTGACTGGTTAATTCCACTTAGTATAATGTCCTCAAGGTTCATCCATGCTGTACCATGTGCCAGGATTTCCTCCCTGTTTAAGGCTGAGTAATATTCCACTGTATGTACATTTTGTTTATCCATTCATCTGCTGATATACATGAGAGTTGCTTCCACCTCTTGGCTATTGTAAATTGTTCTTCAGTGATCACGGGAGTGCAAATATCTCTTCAAGATCCTACACTCAATTCTTTCAGATATATACCCAGAAGTGGGAATGCTGCATCATGTGCTAGTTCTATTTTTAACTTTTTGAGGAACAACCATGCTGCTTTCCATAGCAGTTGAACCACTTCACAATCCCACCAAGAGTGCACAAAGGTTCCAATGTCTCAACATTCTCATCAACACTTACGTTCTGGTTTTTTTTGCTGTTTTTTTTTAATTTTTTTTTTTAAAGATTTTATTTATTTATTTGAGAGAGAGAGAATGAGAGACAGAGAGCACGAGAGGGAAGAGGGTCAGAGGGAGAAGCAGACCCCCTGCTGAGCAGGGAACCCGATGCGGGACTCGATCCCGGGACTCCAGGATCATGACCCGAGCCGAAGGCAGTCGCTTAACCAACTGAGCCACCCAGGCGCCCCACGTTCTGGTTTTTTGATGGTAGTCATCCTAATGGGTGTGAGGTGACACTGCACTGTGGTTTTGATTTGTATTTTTCTGATGCTTAGTGATACTGAGCAGTTTTTCATGTGTGTATGACTTCTCCAAAGATCATGTGTATATGATTTCATCTTTGGAGAAATGTCTATTCAAGTCCTTTGCCCATTTTTAAATCAGGTTATTTGATTTGTTGTTATTGAGAGGTTTTTTTTTGGTAAGCTTAGAAAGTAAGTGTTAGACATCAGCTTATCTGACTCCTTCCATTTATAGACAAGTAAACTAAATTTTGTGGTAAGTCACATAGGAAAGATGCAATCAGACTTGGCATTCTTTTACCTGCTTTTTGTTAACTGCAAGGATTCTCTCCCAGCCACATGGAGAAAACACATGTTAATGATTTGCAATGGAGATTATTTTGTGAAAAGAAACATGAAATATAAGTAAAAATCAATTCTGTAGAAAACATGATAGCCTCTAAAACTGATCTGAATTTGATTTGAAAAATAACAGACAAACCTGAGAAAGTGCACTGGCCTGCGCATTTTAGCCAACAAGTATTTACTGAACATCTTTCAAGTGTCCAGGTAAATGCTGGGTGCTAACCAGATATACCTTAACCCAAAGGCTCTGCACTAACCTGCTGGGTAACTCTGAACTCTGGTCTTCCATTCTCTCACCTATAAAATAATGGACCAAAACAATCTGAAGTCCTTTCTAAATATAAAAAAAATTATATGATAATTTATTAGGATGTGTGATATCTAAGTGGCAGATTCAGCAACAAAGCAGGTTGCACATCCACATATAAGTGAAAGCATTAATCACTACCAAATCTCCTTTTATCTTTTAAACAATTTTTTAAAGATTTTATTTTTATTTATTTGAGAGAGGGGCGGGAAGAGCATAAAGGGAGAGTGAAAGGAAGAGGCAGACTTCCCGCTGAGCAGGAAGCCCAATGTGGGGCTTGATCCCAGGACCCTGGGATCATTACCTGAGCCGAAGGCAGACGCTTAATGACTGAGCCACCCAGGTGCACCCAAAATCTTTTAGTATCATTGTTATCTGTTCAACACATTCTTACACTTCTTTTTTTCCCCTACTATTTCACCCATATGGTCTAAATTACCATGTGTTTAAACAACTACTCTTCTTTTGCAATGTTTAAAATTCTTTCATTTACCTACCAATGTTGTCATCACACTGTCAATTTTCATACAGTTGCCATGCTTCAAACAATAAAAATTAACCACATTTTAATAGAATTATGTGGGGGAAGTTATATGCACATAATTTGGAGAACTCTAATGGGAAGTTTCTGTGTAATATGATAAATTTCAATTTTCTGTTCCCTGAAGATAAAAAAATTATGTTGATATTTGGCAAGATTGGAAGAGAGAAACTAATTCATCTGAAACACCCCTTTCCACACAGACATTAGGTTGATGGGGACAAAAAGGACAATAGAATTGATTTCAAAACCTACTTAACAAGTTCAAAAATAATTTTTTAATTACTTCTATTGAGAAACAGGAAGGCAGAAAATGTAAAAAGCATTTATCAGTATTCTTCCATTTAAGAGAAGTATTTTCAAAAATCAACTTAATCAAAATTTGTGTTAAATAAAATCTTTACTTAGTCAGGTATTGCCTGCTGGGCAAAAGCTGGTTTACTTACTAAAAGACCAGTTTCTACAACAAAAGAACTGGAAATTGTATTTTACTGTTATCTCTGTTTACAACTTCATTATTATTGAAAAGAAAGGCGGGTGCCTGGGTGGCTCATTCGGTTAAGCAACTGCCTTTGGTTAAGGTCATGATCCTGGAGTCCCTGGATCGAGTCCAGCATCGGGCTCCCTGCTCAGCAGGGAGTCTGCTTCTCCCTCTGACCCTCCCTCATCTCATGCTCTCTCTCTCTCATTCTCTCTCTCAGATAAATAAATAAAATCCTTAAAAAAAAAAAAAGAAAAGAAAGGCAATAGCATTAATCTTGTATCACAACAACACAAACCAAATTCGATTTAAAAAAGTTTAAATTCTAAGAAGGGAATGGTGTTATTTCACTTTTTATTCCTTAAAAACTGAAAACACTGCAATTTGCATTTCTATTTCAAACTCTGAGCAATATTTCAAGTTTCGTTACAATTACAGGGCAATAATTATTTAGCATGGAAAACAGGAATAAGAAAAAAATTAAGATGAAATAAAGATCTAAAGATGTGTATCTAAAGAACGTTCTTTAACTGTGAAGCTCTTCACATAATGTTAACAAAGCTGGGTAGGTGATTTATGAGAGGATTGAGATGATGGAACTCAAAACCTAGATGACATAAATCAAACACAGTAGAACAGAGTGAGCACCAGTGTCTGGTTAATTGCAAAAGTTGTACAGTAATACTTGACAGTGAGGTAGAAAGATCTGCTGATGATGTGGATGTTAAACAAGAAAGGAACAATGATAATAAAACAGAAATCTGAGATGTATTCAGTCAATCTTCTCACATGTTCACAAAAATCCTTTCTAAATAAGCACTGAAATCTAAATCTAAAAGAAATATTTTTAAATGTCATTTAAAAAATACTCCTCCAAAATATGAAAGCAGCACAAATTCAGGAGGCTCAACAGCACTTACTTAACCCAACTTGAGAACACTATCCTTTTAACGTCTGGTTTTGGCATCCTTCCCACAGAATCCAAAAGGGGATTCCCAAAACCAGTAAAAAATCTCAAGCTAAAACTTTTCCAAAGTAGCCATACCTGGATCACTCTGAAGGGCAAGTCTGAGAGCCATTAGAACAGATACACCAAGGTCGTTCTCAGCTCAGGGAGAGGGTGGCAAAGACAATACTACAGGACAGATAACTGATCACCATGCTTCCCCAAAGCCAGAAACCCCCCAAATCCTACCTTTTTAATCTTCTTGATGTCTGGATCCTCATCTTCTTGATTGCTTTGGTAAGGTCGCATTCGTTCCTTGGTTTTATTAAGAGCGATAATCTAGGACACAGAATTGGTCCATTTCGTGATTTGGGGAATACTGGCTTCTAGCCATTAACTCATAGGAAGTTATGCCTACAAGGTAGTTTATGAGATCCTCAGGAAACTTTTTCGTTTTCTTATCCATCCTTTCTTCCTTTGGTGCTAAGGCAGGGGAAGCAAGAACTTCACTGCAAGCATGTTTAGTTCTGTTGCTAACGTAAGTGCTTATAAGAAGTGACTGTGGAAGTGTGAACTGGGATTGGCTTAGGAGAAATGTTAGCCCACAATTTGGCCCAGTGAGGACTAGGTCAAGGCCTTCACAGGAGCTGAGTGGCATGCTGCCATCTTGCCTGATGGTAGCTGCCTGTAATGCCCTGTGGTCTCCAAATGCAATGCCACTCAAGCCAAAGCTCCTTGCTTCCCACGATGAGCCTGCAGCCTTCCAGGTACGCATAAGTACAGCAGATTCACAAAATTCCTTGGGAAAATGGTAACTGCAAAAGGAACTTCAGAGTCTTGGGACTGATCCAAGCCAACCAAGAAAAGGTGAAAAGGTAAAAAGGATTGAAACAACCTGGGATCTCTTTTATCTCTAGCTCAGTTATGTGGCCTGTGAGGGGCAACCAAGACCAGATGGCCGGTCCAGTACACTTACTAATAAAATTCACTAGACTATCACTCGATTGCAGACTCTTATAAAGGTAAGAACCTATACAGATTTACTACGCAGACATTTAAAAAGAGTCATACTTGATTCCTCTGACCTGTCTTTACATTTTGTCACCAATACCAAATATACATTTCTGCCATTTTCTGGCAGAGACATGGGAAAATAAAAGGAGTAAGAAATAAATTATTTTTCCTGCCAACTGACCAAACAAGACATACCTGCTACTGACAGTTTGGGGCTGCAATCTATATTCAGACTAAAATAGAACATAGTGAAGACAGATAAGCATGCACAAGTAAAGACTAGGGAACATTGCTTGGTGCTGAGTTTCTCTTGTGGAGTAAATGCCAACTTCTTTCACTGAGCCGACAAGCATCTGCTCTAGCTTACTGTGGGAAATAAAGAACACAATAATTTTGTTTTAAATTACAGTGCCTGATATAGTCTTTTAAAATGCAGGTTTCTTAAGTTATCTGTTGTTGTTTTTGCTATATCAGATTTCACGGTTGAACTGGGAAGTTAACAACACTAACGATATGGTGAACGTGGTCTGCAACCTATCAGAAACCAGGTGGAATCAGCTTATACCCTTGCTCTGTGAACTGGAGGTGATGTACACAGGCAGCAGGAGGTGAAAACCCCTCAGAGCATTCGGAGTATGTCTCAGAGGAAGGTAGTGAGGAAACAAAGAGGAAAATATCATCCAATGACTGTAAAAGTGACAAGAAAGTTACCAAGACTGAGGACCCTGAATTGTTCGGTCAATAGGATACAATTAGTGGTAGGTTTCCTTCTGTTCTATTCTTCTCTTTTGAAGCTAAGAAAATGCTAATGTACCCCTAGTCAGAAAGGGGGGAAAATCTTGTTTTCTACATTCCTCTTCAGTTCTTCAGTTATTGACCAATTTCCATGAGGAATAACAGGACAGCAAGGACAGGTACCCTTGGGTTTCTGTATATAGACAGAGGCACTTGTGAGCATGGGAAGACCCAGGCCCACCACCAGGGCTGCAGACACCATGACCATCTTCTGTTCTCACTTGGCACAATCTCATAATCCAGGGGTACAAGGCCTCAGAAGTTCACCTTCGGAGGGTGAGGGGTGGGGTGGAGGGAGGCAGGAATGCCAAATTCAGGAAAAAGTGTACCCTAGAAAATGTCTTATACTTTAACTCAAATGTGTTTTTCAAAATTCTAGAGGGGAGAAAGTTGGACTCCTTAGACATAGAAGCAGTAAAGTCTTCCAGACTTCATTTCTGGTCCTTCCTTAGTTGCCATTTGGGAGGTTAACTGAACCTATGATAGATCCACAGTTATCATTACTACAATAGTCAGTCTACAAACAATTATATACTACAGTCAGCTCTTGGTTATCTGATCAAATGAAGGGCATCAGGAGCACAAAATAATTAAAAAGCAGCATATTATTCTGATATTTTGTTGTAGCGTATTTACTCAAATCCTAACAGACTAGATACCTTTCTAGCATAGATCTGCAGTGTGACCATGTACATGTTGACGGGAAAGGAACTAAGTTTGGGATTAAAATCTTGCCCTAGATAGGTGTTATGTAATTATGAGCAGATGACAATAAATGTGAAACAATGGGGAAGAATCTATCAACTGGGAAGTACCTCTGATTTAAGTCTTTCAATTTCTGTATCTTGATCTTCAAGTTGATGCCGGAGCTGGTTAGCTGCAATTTTTTCTGTTTCTACGATCTGAACTAGATGAATATACTTCTGCATTAACACTTCCCTCTCAATCAGAATGTCTGCATAACTTAAGAGAAAATTACACAGTTAGTCAATGAGATACTGTTCTCCTGCAATTTCATATAGAACAGCATACATTATGTTTTAAAAAGAAACCATAAATGTAGTTTGTTGGCTAACCCTACTTTATGTAAATATTAACTTTTGGCTGACATTTGGTATCATTTAACTATACAGAATTCAAATCATCATTTTACATATCCTTTACTAAGCTATGAGTTCATTTAACTATATAGAGTTTGGATCATTACCATTTTACATATCCTTTACTGAGTTCATTTAATGAATGTCTGCCACCTACAATTTAACATATACATCAGAAAACTGCAAAGGAAATCTATTGTTTATAAAGAAAAAGATGCATCTTCTTTAACAAAAACTGAAGTCTTTGAATTGATGGTACACACCTGGTTTCCAGGGATGATGTTCAAAAATATTTCACTGCTATGATAAGTCACTAGCCAATCAGAACAGACCAGCCACCAAGTGGAATGAACACAGGGACCATCAGAACAGGGACTGGCTCGAAAGAACTATGATGCCTGTTCCAGTGACCACCTGCTTGGCTCTCTTTAGGATCGTGAGACCATTGATACCTCTTTCAAAAATCAATAGAAGCTAATATTTCATTCTAAAAATAAGTGTAGATTCTTGGGCCCTAACACCATCTGCCTCATTTGTATCCATTCTTTTGGTGAAGTGTGGTAAAGGCAAGGCTCTCTCTTAGATTTTTATTGACTATGTAATTCTGTAGCCCGTGGAATTTTACCTCTAGATCTTCTTGCACCCTTTGAGGTAGTTAAAATGTATGTTCCTCCATTTCCCAAATGGTCTAATAATAGTAACAGTTAATAACTACTATTTATTAAGTGCTTGGATGTACCCTCTATATTCTCATTTCATCCTCCCAGCAACCAGGAGATAGGCTTTATCATTCCAATTGTACACAGAAAGATTTTAATCTTCACAGAGGTCACACAGCTAGTAGGTGGCAAGGCTGGAATCAAATCAATTTATGTTTGACCTTAAGCTTATGTTCTTAACCACAAGCTAAACTGTCTCTCTAATAAGAAATAGCACACTGGATATAAACAAGAATGTTGTAGCAGACATGTCTTGAGATATCTGCCCAATTTTGCACTCACTTACCTCTTACCTCTTCTTTGAGAACTTAGGCCATAGCAGCCATGTTTATACCACAAAATCTGTCCTCATGACTACATTACACTGGTCAAAAAAGAGATAACTGGCCCAAGCTAAACCAACTCGTCTTTCTCCTTGGAATACGGCATTCTACCTCTTATTTATTTGCTTGAACTGATACGATACAAACTTGGAAACTCTGGTTACCATTGTTGGGCAGCCATATTTGGCCATACCCATGCGAAACAAAGTGAGTCAGCTGAGAAACAAAGTAAGCAGATGTTCAGGAAAACAGAGATTAGAGAGACAGAAAGGTAATGACTATCTGGGTTTCTATCAACTTTCAAGTTTCTGGCTCCACATCCTCATGATATCTAAATATAATTTTTACTCTTGGGTTTGGTGAAATATTACAATTTCTGTCTAATAATCTTTCTGTAACCTAAACTAGTTTGAAGTAGGTTTGTGTTACTTAGAACCGAAAGAGTCTTAAGACAATTCTAAAATCATAATTTTAGTTCAATTATCTCAACATCTTCAGCACTTACATCATGTGTGCTACTAGTGTTAGAAAAAAACATAGTGTCAGCAATATTTTAAAGTCATTTGTTCTAAGAAATCACCCTAAGAAAGTAGACAGAAAGGCTGTGTAAGTGTAAGTGGGAGGAGGGTAAAAAAAGAAAAAAAAGAGCAGAGTCTTCATAGAGATATGCTTTTAGGAACTTTAAAAAAGGAGGAAATAATAGAACATGAGAAAAGTAGCTATTATAATAAAAATTCTGCTCTTTCTCATTGATTTTATTAGAAATATGCCAAATTTATTAAAATATATTAAATCAGTGTTAGGTAGCAAAACAGTATTTTTTTTCTCTTATAAAAAGAAAAAGTCCAGTCCAGATTGTGCAGCTGAGTTCATGCAGACTCATTACCAACATCTGTCTCCCTTCACTTCCAAGCCCCCACTGAAGTGCTAGGAAAATTATTTTCTGTTTAAAGAATGAAACCATAACAGCATTATAAAACAGGAAAATATGCCATCAACAGATCAGAAGTTGTAAGAAATTCCATGAAGAGAAAGACCAAGTAGAATCAGAGTGGTGGGAAATTCAGAGTAGAGGAAACCACACAAGGAGACACCTTGCATAAGCATGGTTCCCATGAAGGTGGCCAGAGCTCCAAGCTTGGAATCGACAAATTCAAAGAAACGGAGTAGGTAAGGTGATCATTAGGGTCTTTCATTAAACAGGTGCCTTTACCAACATCTGCAAGTTAGGCCTCTCCTCTTCCCAGTTCCTAAAGTAAAAAAATAAAAGGCACAACTGGCAGTAGTGACATGTCCTCAAGTCACAGCGCAAGATCTGCTCTCTGTAGAAAAGAGACCTAATGAGGAAGCTAGACTCAGAGAAGACACCTAATGAGGAAGCTAAACTCAGAGAGAACAGAACTTGAATTTACACCAGACCTCCACTGTTGACACAAGAGAGAACCAAAAAAGGATCAGCAATAGGAGGGACTAGGAATGAAATATATGTATTGTTTCTCTATTGTGAACAAATGACCACAAACTCCCAGGTTCAAAACAACACATATTTATTATCTCGTAGTTCTGTGCATCAGGGGTCCAGGCTGTTTAGCTGGGTCCTCAGCTCAGAGTCTCACAAGCCACCTATTATGGTGTCAGTCAAGGTGCATTCTCATCTGGAGGCATGACTGGGGAAGAATCCATTTCCAAGTATTTCAAATTGTTGGAAAATTCATTTTCTTGCAGGTATAGAACTCATGCAGCTTGTTTCCTCAAGGCCATCAGGAGAACATCTCTGACCCCAAGGAGGACCCAGTCCCTCCTTGAGGGCTTCCCACTGATTAAGTCAGGCCCATTCAGGAGAATCTTCATTTGAAAATTATGAGAAATGAAAATTATTATGTGAAGAAGAATAAAGCATGCAAAGTAAATAATCTTAGATGACTTTTTTTCATTTGACAAGGACTTTTATTTGAATGACTATTTTGTGCCAGGCCCCATGCCAGGTGCTGAACTGATCTTTAACATTTTTGCCTAGATTAATATGGAGCCTCCAGCTGGTCTCCCTTCTTCTCCCCTGGCACTCTACCCCCACCTCTGTCTTTTCCCATTACAGCAGCCAGTGTGATCCTGCTAAAATGTCAGATCTTGCCATGCCTCTGATTCATTTCTCATAATTTTCAAGTCCTTTGATTCATTTAATTGGTTCTACCTAGTTTACTACTCTCACCGGGGCATCTTCTCAACTTTACATCAAAAAGCTTTCTTTTTTTTTTAATTTTATTTATTTGTCAGAGAGAGAGACAGCACAAGCAGGGGGAATGGCAGGCAGAGGGAGAAACAGGCTCCCTCCCTCCCAGCAGGGAGCCTGATGTGGGACTCGATCCCAGGACCCTGGGATCACGACCCGAGCTGAAGGCAGACGCTTAATGACTGAGCCACCCAGGCATCCCACAAAGCTTTCTTTAGGCATCCTGCTAGTAAACGAATTGTGACAAATCAACTGGAAATGCTTCCATTCGATGTAAGAACTTTCAGAGCATTGGTATTTCTATTTTACTCTATTTCCAATATATTTTCTATCTGATTAAATTAACCAGTTGCTCAAGTTTAAGAATTTCTGCCTAATCTATTTATTATTTCTTTTTATTTTTAATTTTTTGTTGTTGTTATTCGGTTTAACTTCCACCAGGGGAAAAAATAGTCTCTTCACTGCCAAGTGAAATAACAAAATTAAGCCATATAAATCAACATGATGAAAGCCAAACTCATGTGTCCAGTACCAACAGATGGCAAGTTTGAGGTATATATATGTATGAGAGTAAAATACTTGTGTAATATTTATAATCAAAACCAAGACACCACTATTCCATATGGGAGAAAAGGAAACATTCCAATGAAATCCTAAAGAGTCCAGAGAAGTACAGTATAAAATCATAGGCCTTTTATTATTTTTACAGAAGAGTAAAAATTATATTAGCTTCACAAGAAATGGTTAGATGGGCCAGGCCCTATCCTAGCTACTATGATTGAAGACATATTTGCTAATTAGGTAGATAGATAGATAGATAGATAGATAGATAGATAGATAGATAGATAAACAGATGGATAGACAGATAGGTAGATAGACAGATGAATAGATAGATAGATAGATAGATAGATAGATAGATAGATAGATAGATAGATAGATAGATAGATGGGATAGATAGATAGACAGACAGACAGACAGATGGATAGATAGATATGCTAGATAGATATGCTAGTGAGACATACATAATGAGAACTGTAACAAAACCCAAACTGAAAACTCATATTACAGGTGACTGAAGAAAAGCTCCCACTTGCTCCAGGATTATACTCAATTTTATTGAGACAACTCTCTGGAATCAGCATTCCTCATATCAGGGGCATCATGATGTCTTTGGGAACTGGAAAAAACCAGTCCTGGATGATAGTTCCCATCCAAACAGTGTTTGAGCACCGGCAGCAGCCAGCTCATCTATGCAAGACTCTGCCTCCCCAGCTTTACTCACGGCCACTTCAGGATTACTATCATCTGCTTTTTCTGGCTCTCAAATTCTCTTACGTCGATAGCTCTACTTCACCAGCTAATCAATATTTGTTAGGTGTCACATTAGGGTGAGGTTCTAACCTATATCACCCCCACTAATCCCTTCTCTCTCTACTGGTAGACCCTCTTCTCCTAAGCTTGTTCCCTTTACAATGAATGAAAACTCAAACATCTCTGTTAGAAGAGACCAAAAAGAGGAATAAAATTTAAAGACTAAAACTCTCTGTTCTAAATACTGCTCCCTCTTTCCATTTCATGTTTAGTAGTTCAT